CCCTCGGTTTCTTCCCTTCCTCTCCCTCTTTCCTCCCTTTCTCCGCTGTCCTTTCGCTCGGTTTTTCCCTCCCCCCCTCTTTCCCCTCCTCTCCCTCTTTTTTCCTCCCTCTTTTTCCCCTGGGGTCCCGCTTCTCCCCCCCCTTTCCCTGTTTTTTCTCTCCCCCGCTCCCCGCTTCTTCTTTCGTTGGCGGGCGGTCCTCTTTGGGCCTTCTTCCGGCTCTCTCTTTTCTCTCTCCTCTTCCCTTTTTTTCTTTTTTTTTTTCCCTCTTTTCTCTCTTTCGCTTTTTTTCTTTTTTCTTTTTCCCCTTTCTTTTTTTATTTTTTTTTTTTTTTTATGTTCTTTTTAAAAAAAATTATTAATTTAAATTTAATTTAATCTAATTATTATAGTGGTATGTATATTTTATTAAAATAAATTATTAAAAACTTTTTATATATTTTTATTAATATATTTCTTAATATAAATTATATAATAAATTTAAATATATTATTAAAATTATTTTTTTAAAAATTTTATTTTATATTTTAGTTAAATTTAAATTTAATATATAGGTAAAAATATTTAAAATATTAAAACGTTTTTTATTTTTAACATTTTTAAAATGGGTAAAAATTATACCAAATTTAAATATTTTTTACGTAAAAAACTAAAAGATTAATAAAAAGGGAGTAATCCAGGAATTATTAAAGGTATATATTTTATACGTATAATATTAAATTTTTTTTTTTTTTTTTAAATATTTTTATATATTTTAATTTTTTTCTTTTTTATTTTTCAAAATTTATTTTTTTTAATTTTATATCTTAATTTATTAAAAAATGATTAAAATTAAATATTAATCTAAATTTAATTTAATTTAATTGTTGTGGTGGTATGTATAATTTTATTAAAATAAAAATTACCAAAAATTTTTTTATATATTTTTATTGATATATTTTTTAATATAAATTATATAATAAATCTAAATATATTATTAAAATTGTTTTTTTAAAGGTTTTATTTTAATATATTTTAATTAAATTTAAATTTAATATATAGGTAGAAAATATTTAAAATAATTGTAAACGCTTTTTACCCCCGATATTTTTAAAATGGGGCAAAAACTACATTAAATTTAAATGTTTTTTACGTAAAAAGCCAAAAAACTAATAGTTAGGTTATAACGTTATCCCAACTAATTAAATACTAAGAAATTAAGTTGGTTTTATTAACGTATAAAAGAATACGGTAATAAAGTTTAGCAAAAATATTAACAGTTATTATAAATTATTTTTAAAAATATTTAAAAATAATTATATAATATTTTTTAGGTTATATTTTACTTAATATACAAAATAATTAAAAAAATTAAATATAAAAAAAATAATTAATTAATTAACTTATTAATTAATAAGTTTATTAACTTATTAATTAATAAGTTTATTACAAGGAAAATAAAAACCTAATTAATATCAAAACCTATTTAAATTAAATCGAAATCAAAATACCAAAAAAAGTAAATAATTAATTACAAAAATTATTTTAATATAATATTAAAAGGGAAAAAAAAGAAATTAATTAAATTTATCGTAAAAAAAACTTATACAATTTTTTACACGTTTATTATATATTTAATTTATTAATAAATATTATAATTAAATTTAATATTTTAAAAATAATTAATTAGTAAATTTTAGTTAAGTTAAATTACACCGTATATAAATTTAAAATATAATTTAAAACTTAATAAAATTAATAATATTAAAAATATTAAAATAAATATTAAAATAACGGTATTACGTAAGGCTTAATCAACAGCCTTAATAACCAAAGTAATGTTTTTTTTTTTTTTCTTTTAAAATCTCAAATTTAATCTTTATATATATTGTTATTTTAAGATTTTAACCTTTATTTTATAGGTTAAATTTAATCTCATAACCTTAATCAAATCTAAAAAAAAAGTATAAACAAAGACAAAATATCATATAATTTCATTTTTAATTATATAACAATAATCTTAATATAAATACCTTTTATGGTTGCACACACCCATTGTAAATAGTTTTTTCCATAACAAATACATTTTTTTTATTCCCATTTATATATTTTATAAGATCATATTTATAAGTTTTTGAAATCAAGTTTATAAAAGTTTAACACCAAGGCTAAAGCTATTAACCTTGTTTAATATATATAATAAATTTATAATAAATGTATAAATATATATATAGCGAAAATAATCTAAATATATAATAAATATAATTAAAATAATAAGGATTATAATCTTATATATAAAATATTATCAATTTAATTTTATTTTAATTAATAAAATATTTTTAATTTATTTTTATTATTTAAATATTTTTTACTTTTTATATATTTAATTTATATATATAATTTAAATATTTTCTATTATTATTTAAATATTTTTTATTTATAATTTATTAAATATTATTATATTATTATTTATTATTAATTAATTTTTATTAAATTATTTTTTATTTGCCAATAAAACTAATCCAAATTTATATATATATTAATAAATTATATAAATATGTTTTATTTTTTATACATTTAATTTATATATATAATTTAAATACTTTCTACTTTTTATAAATTTAATTTATATATATAATTTAAATATTTTTTACCTATTTTTAAATACTTTTTACCCAAAACCTTTTTAATATTATTTTAAATATATTTTATTATTATTTAATTATTATTTATTATTAATTAATTTTTATAAAATTACTTTTTATTTATTTATAAAATAATATTAAATTTATATATATATATTAATAAATTATATAAATATTTTTTACTTCTAATATAATAAATAAATCTATATTATCAAAATATTTTTAAACTTTAATTTTTTTTTATATTAATTTATATATATTCCAACTTTATAATAAATATTTTTTATTTTTTATTATTATTAAATTAATTTATATATATTTCAATTAATATTAAATTATTTTTATTTATATATAAAATAATATTAATTTATATATATATTAATAAATTATATAAATATTTTTTACCCTTAATATAAAAAATAAATATATATTATTTAAATATTTTTTACCTTTTATATAAAAATAAATATATATTATTTAAATATTTTTTATTTTTAATATAAAAATAAATATATATTATTTAAAGGTTTTTTATTACCTTAAAACATTAATAATAATTTATATAAATTTTAACCATTTTATTAAAATTAATCTTAAATTATTTTAATTTATATATATATAATAACATAATAAAAACAAAATAATTTTAAAATAATAAATAAATTTATTAAATTAATACAACTATTTAACAAATTTATAAGATTTAATTTAAATAGGTTTTAAATAAGAAATATTTAAAATAATTATAAACGCTTTTTATTCCTAACATTTTTAAAATGGGGCAAAAACTATACCAAATTTAAATGCTTTTTACGTAAAAAGCCAAAAAACTAATAGTTAGGGGAGGCCAGGTTTAGAACTGGCTGGAGTAGTAAAACTTTTGGATCAGTTATCCAAGCGGAATGAGGCCAGTTGTACTCTTGTTTATTGCAAATATAAGCAGATAGAAAAAGGCGTAGTGTATTTTATTACACCTCGTTCATCTCAGCAACGTACTCCTAAAGTTATATTATTTACTATGTATAGACTATCTTAGTCCTAGCTCTTTTGTACCGTTAGGCAGCTAATTGTACCTTATGCCAAAATATTTAGCTGCTTTTTCTCTTGGACCAAATACTCTTGGAGTGTCGTAAAGCGGAATTTGTATTTCTTTTCAAGTGCCTCCGGATTAACTGTCAAGTCAACCGCATTAGCCCAGAGCTGCCATGATACAATCGGATTTGTGTCGTCTGTTTCTCCGAGTGTACGAGCTCGAACTGTAATGGGCTTTCCTGTAGCTTTTTGAATCGCATCGGCTACGTCCTCTACTGTGAGATTCTGGCTGGCTAATTCGATTTCTTCTCCGTCAAATGTTGCTGGATCAAAAAGCGCCATGGCTGCGAACCGCCCGATGTCATCCACGTTGATGTGTGGGAAAATAGCTCCTGGCTTAAACGAGTGGAATATTTCTCCTTTGCTTACCAGTTCTGGGTAATACTCTTGAACAGCCGGCGGAAGGTAGTTCGAATGGAACCAAAAAGGACGAAGTATCGTAAGATACCTGATTCCTGAGTGACGAACCGCGTCTTCGACAAGCGCGTCGTTCTTGCAGAACCCCCTCAGCCACTCGCTCCTGTTGAGAGGATTATCCCATTTTTCCTTACTCCCTACCCATCCCGCAGTAGAGGCTACGACGTGTTCCACCCCGGCTTCCTTGCAAGCTTGAAGGATATCTGCCGCTTGTCGACCCGGGTTCGAGTTGTCTGGCCACGAATTGAGATTTAGAAAGATACCTTTGCATCCCTTAGCTGCGTTGCGGAATACGTGGATGTCGTCGTTGCTGCCCTTGAATAAGACGACGCCTTGACTTTCAAGCTCGCGGGCGGCCGGCTTGGTTGGGTCTCGGACCACCGCGTGTACTTTGGTACCACCTTTAAGCAGAGCCGCGACTGTTGCTCTGCCTTGCTGACCAGTAGCGAGAGTGACTAGGAAAGTGGACATCTTGAATAGGAGGTATAATATACTGTGGAAATCGTAAGAATAACTTTAGTCGTATTGTTTTAGAATATATTGCTGAATGCCTAATCATGAATTCGTAACTCGAAGGACGTCTAATATAGAGTCATATTATAGCTGATTATAAATCAAGTAGTATCTCTATCATTCTTCGAATTATTAATCATCGAAGCTTCTCACGAACCAAGCCTTGGCTGCGTATTTAAGGCATATGAGACCAAGGCACAAATGAGCGCTAATGTTCATGATTGGGAAGAAATATAGCAGCTTCGTAGATCCAGTGGAGTCTTGTTGTCAGCATTTTCAAATGTACTAGGCAGACGCATCATCGTATACACTAACATGCGACGGGTGAGAAGTTATTAGGTTCGAATAGACGGTGGTGATGGAATGCAGCTTACATTGCGCCAAGTATCAGACGAATAATATTACGTAACAACTTCAACAGCTTAGACGACTCGTATAACTAACTAATCACGACTAGTTACTAAAGAAACTTAAGAGTCACGCCGTGCTTGGATAAATCTCCATCCCCTCTTGCTTCCGAATCCTCTTGTCCCATCAATCTTAAGTTCGAATATGAAGTTACCTACCCTTCTATCACCTCGGCTTCTTATGTTGACAGTTTTACGAACGGCTACCTTTAGAAGTGCTGGTATAAAATGCTCGTCATGATATGCCTAAAGCTAGCGGTTCAGCTACGAGTCCATTTACGAAAGTGTACTCAAGGTTAAGAACCGCGCTGTCATACAAACCAAGCAATTGAACCACGCTCGACAGTAACCTCATTGGCTTTCTGGTCTTTCCGACGCACGTGGAAACGAGCTATGCTTAATTATACGCGATGCCTAGTTGGCCGCAGTCTAGAAAACTTCTTCTCTTTATAGTATCTCCAAACATTCCGGATGCCCTAATGTTAGGATAGGGGCTACCATGGTTATACCTAGTAGGTTATAATGACAAAAGCTTCATACAGCCTTAATGACTAAATAAAACCAGTTGCTAGCAGTCTTATTGCATCTATCATACCGGAGATAGTTTGGCTTTGGACTGCTTTAGAGCAAGTTCTTGGCCAAGACGCCTACGCGATTTGGGACTCGCGGATACAGTCTCGATGACTGTGTAGCAGCTACCCATGACACCGAAGTAGCCCCGGTACTCAAGCAAGCTTGAATATATGTTTTTAGTAATGACGAGACATATATTCTGGAGTCTTTGAATATCTTCTACTACGGTAGGCGTTCCGAGGGACCATGACTAACATTTGACCTGGGCGAGGTGTCTGAGCTTTAACCTGCGTATTAAGATAATAGTCTTGCAGAATAAAAAAGGAGGGGCATCGATGAAGAATTTCTAGCAAGTTGTTTCTAGCAGAAGTATTCAAACTCCGACTATAACCACAAGCTGTAAAGGAGATTCAAGTGTCAATAGTGGCAAAAGGGGGCTATTTTATTGAAGAGTAGAGCGGGTCAACAGTAGCTTAAAATGCATTATACAACTGTGTGGTTGCGATGTTATATCGTATCTCTTAAAGATGGAGTACGAACAGCAGAGACACAGAAATTGATAGGAACTGACAATGTTCGATGTTGCTTGGGGACAAGCCGGTACATAGTAAATTGAGAGCCCCACTTAGTCCATCAGATATGGTGGACTTTATTGGTTTCATTAGTGGGAGTCTAGATGATTTATCATCAATCGAATCACTCCTAAGCCAAGTTCCGCAGATGTCCGAATTACATAGTATGACGGTTAGACTCAGAGACATATAAAAGGTTGACATATAAATATAATAGAATGTAGGTTCTCGACTTCTTTTTCGTCATCTTTCTTTACTCATATTTTTCACTTCGATATGACGCAAAGAAAAGTCGTCAGGGTCACCAATAAAGGCGACCAAGAAGCTTTAAAATTACATCAAGATACTCTGCCTAGTCCAGAGTCGTACGAAGTCCTGGTTCGGATAAAAGCCGCTTCGCTCAACTATCGCGATATTGCCTTGCTCGAAGGCAATTACCCCGCATCAACCAAGCCAAATGTCGTTCCTCTGTCGGATGGTGCTGGTGAGGTAGTTGCGGTGGGAAAAGATGTTGCGCGAGTTAAAGTTGGCGATCGTGTCGCTGTCAGTTGCACTATGCACTGGGTCGGGGGGCCGTATATGTCGGAGTACCAGGCACAAAGCGTCGGCTTCCGTATCGATGGGATGTTGGCTGAATATGGACTCTTCCACGAAAATGCGCTTGTCCACCTTCCAGCATACCTGTCCTACATTGAGGCTGCCTCCCTGCCTTGTGCTGCCGTTACGGCTTGGACTTCGCTCAATATGGCCACTCCCCTCCAGCCTGGACAGACCATTTTGATTCAAGGCACCGGTGGCGTCTCGCTGTTCGCGCTGCAATTCGCAAAGATCGTTGGCGCACGTGTCTTTGCCATCACGTCGTCCGATGAAAAGGCCGAGACGCTGAGAAAATTAGGCGCCGAGTCTGTAGTCAACTACAGTACTCACCCCGAGTGGGACCGAGAGATTCTCGCACTCGCTGACGGCAAGGGTGTTGACAAAGTCCTGGATATCGCAGGAGAGAAGACGATCGTTAAATCAGCCGCATCAACCAGAATTGGCGGCGTGATTAGTCTGATCGGCTTCGCTAGCGGTTTTGGCGGCGGCCTCCCTCCGATTGACATTCTTAGTCGAAGCCTCACTGTAATGGGGTCAACTATTGGTTCCCGTACGAACTTCGAGGATATGCTCAGAGCAATGGCAGTACATCATGTGCGGCCGATTATCGATCGAGTGTATCCGTTTGCGGAATATAACGAGGGTTATAAGCGGATCAAGAGCGGGAATCACATAGGCAAGGTCGTGATCGATTTAGCATAAACAATAGTCGCCATCTTGAGCATCCGTTACACGAACCATAGATATTGTTGGCTTCATAAAACCCAACAGATTAAGCTAGCTAAAGGAACTGATTTCACCATCGAAGGAAATAATTTATTAGTAGGTGCCGATGGCTGCGAGATCCAAAAGTTAAGAGCGTGGCCGCTCCCTAGCGAGAATAAGGCTGATTGCGTATATCTAGTTCGTTTTCAATCATATTTCGCCAGCGTTCAAGCTCGCGAGTTGTCAGATCATCTAGCACCTCGGGGGTTATGTGAAATCTTTTGCTAGGGAGGTTGTCGTCGGAGGTCGAACAGCTTCGCTTCTTAGCTTTTCGACTTTTACCTGCGACAATTAGCTTCTGGGGGTTTTAAAAGGGGCCGTCAAAACTTTACCTTCATAAAATGAGCATGCCGCAGCCGTACTCGAAAATTGGCAGTTTGTACAAGCTCCATTGAACAAGTCCTTGTCACCGGCAACGCACTCGACGCATGGACCACGCGATTTTTTATGTAAACATTGTTGACACGAGCCCAAATTGACTTTATCTATCGTGACGAAAGCTGCCATAGCTGACATTCTTTGTTGTCGTTCAAGATGAAATTTAGGTTGGATAATTGTACCCTTCTCCCGAAGTTGTTTAAGTTCAACTAAGCGGGTGATGGTCTACCTATCATGAGCACTACTCTGCACAAGCTTGATCAATAATAAACATACCTTTTGGCTTTCTATTATAGTACGAGCATCGTTGTAAGGACAGGCTCGGACCTGATCGACAATCCAGCTGGTAAGCTCTAGTGGATTGCCAAAGTCTACACTCTCATCATCAGGAGCTACGAGATCCGTCTCTTGCCATTTCCAAGTCGATAAGGGTAGAGCATCTTCCGACATGATCATTGATAATCAATGAAAGTTATGGATTCTTGATATGTACGATTATTAAGAGGCAAATTGGATGTGAGATGCGACAATGTATACGCGTTGAAATTGGAAATCTATTGTTATTATGAAAAATCTTTTTACCGTACCATTTATCTCATCTTCTTTAGATAAGTTCATGATTAACTAAACTAGTTACAGTTAGGTCCTCGGTACCTGATATGGCAAGGATTAAAGTCAGTGCTTTAAATATACGGTGTAGACGATTTAATCAACCCTCCCTAGACAAGAATACGAAAACTATAAACTATTGACATTTAGAATAACCAAGGTAAAGGTTTTTAGAATATTGGAAGAATTCTTTCGTATCAGCCATGAGATGTGATTTTTTAACAGGAAATGTAACAATCTACGAAGTAGCCACCTTGTGGATATAAGTAAAGTCCAAAGGCTAACCTACTACGACTTTCAAAGAGAGGTAACGTCAATTACCCAAATATTCTCACCCAATAGCTTACCATTTTAGTTTACTTCAAGCTTCGAGAGTAAACGTAGTAATTATAGAATGAGCAATCTAAATGCTATATCGTCATTTTAACCTATAATTATGATTCCCAGCTTGTATTAACAAGCCTATCTGTGCTAGTCTTAGTTTCTTGTCGGTAATGTTTGAAATATAGGTAGCCAAGGAGTAAACTCTTTCACATAAACTTTTATTTAGATACCAAGCGTTACATTGTATTGATAATCTAGTAGTAACCGCTCTCACACGACTTCAGCCTAGTTAGAATATTTGGACTAGACCACAGCAAAAAGACTTTACAACGTTCGATGGTTGAGCTGTCAACAGCCTAAATACCATTCGGTAGTTATTTAATGCTACTTAGCCATGCTCCTTTTCGGTAAACGGACCAGTTACTTCCAGCTATTCGAATACGCCTTAATATTACCAAATGTGAAGATATAAGTACCGTCAGAGACAAACTATTCATCTCTTACTAGCTTCCACCAACTTACATAGCCCAACATGTTACTTTCCGTATTTACGAAGCAGTTGCCAGTCATCGGTGCACTTATTACAAGCGCATCCTGCCATGGATTTGTGCAGTTCATTGTTGCCAATGGCAAGAACTATACCGGCTGGGACCCAGGTTTCCGCTTTCAAAATCCACCACCAAGCATCCCAGGCTGGACAGCGGATAATCCAGATATCGGTTTCGTCAGTCCCGAATCATTCGCCAACCCGGACATCATCTGTCACAAAGCGGCCACGCCGGGTCAGGCATATGTGGACGTAACCGCGGGTAGCACATTGACACTTCAGTGGTTCACGTGGCCAGACAGCCATAAAGGACCTATCATCGACTACTTGGCTGATTGCGGCACAGCCGGCTGCGCTGAAGCCAAGAAGGAAAGCCTGAAGTTTGTTAAGATTGCACAGGCCTCTTGGAAATCTGGCAACGATTGGGCTTCGGATGATCTGATAAGGAACCAATTCAAGTGGCAGGTCAAGATTCCGGCAACCCTAAAGTCAGGTCACTATGTGTTACGCCACGAGATAATTGCCCTCCATGGTGCCTCCAACGTTGATGGCGCTCAGGCATACCCGCAGTGTATCAACCTACACGTTACGGGTGCCGGATCTAAGTCTATTAGCGGCGGCGTGCCCGCTACCAAGTTTTATAAAGAGAACGATCCGGGCATTTTATTTAATATTTACGGAGAGATCACTAGTTACCCTGTACCGGGCCCTAGTAGTATTTGGACTGGCTCATAAAGTTCCAAGGCGTCACAATGTGGAGTAAGAAGTATGAAAGCAACTTTGTTGTTCTGTAAGAAAATCTGAGCTGGCTACGGGGGGCTATGACTTTATATTCTAATACGAGGCTGAGAGGCAAATGCAGTGGATAAACTTCGTGGGATAAGTTTCTAACTAATCAGTATATGATATTATAGTTGATATCATTTGAAGAATAATTTCAAATGCAGACTCTTTTAATATATTTATAATATGAACATCGTATAACATAAAAATCGTGTGATTGCGGATGCTAAACTTGGTTGCATAATTTATAGAATCGTTTTCTTTTAAACTCCCATATTCCATCAACGTCATTTCTTGTCACATGAATATTATTTACTATTTCATTTAGCTTTCTTGCCTCTAATTATGGCAGCCCTCCGTTTGATATACGATCACTCATCGCCGTATATGCTGCAAGGTTTCAACCATGCCAACCGTAATCTCTTGGTACAGAAGCACACGGCTATGCCTAGTATCGAAACACATATTACTACTGGGATGGGCTAGTCTACTATTATGACAATATATTCCTACAATGTTATAAAGGTAGTCTAGCGTCTATTAAACAGGTAAGTCTGTGGGTTTAAGGTAACCGAGTCTGATAGATGTGGCCTTTGTATATGCTCATCAGGGGGTTACCTAAAACCTAACCTCCCATATAATCAACTACTACTATTACTACATTTATATATATATATTACATAGCGTTTGATTTGGAGATACTCATTAAACAGCTACGTTGTGGCAATATCATCAGTTACTGGTAAAACTATAGTAGTAAACTTGAACTGAGCTGATAGTCTTAGGAGACTAGCTTATTAATACATATCTAGTAACCAATGACATAGGTATGCGCTGAATAGAAGGATTTCCGGCCGATTACTACTTAGAGGGCTAGAAATTTCTGGGACGGGATGTTACTGTAGTCTGCATATGGAAAAAAGAACGTCTATTTCGTAGGGCAGCATGCATGTCACAACTAGACACAGGTTGACATGGGTATATTCTTCGCTGATACCTTGTATCCTGTGGGGTTTATATTGGGTACGTAACAAAGCGAATCTCGTTGAGTGATTCGCGTGAGTAGTATGAGTCGTGTGACTTACAGTACCTTGGTAGATAGATGAGATTGGGTATTGAGGCAGGTGAATGGGTGTGGTATAGTATGCAGGCATGATGACTGTCAAAAGGCGGTCTGTATTAATCAAATTGAGAATATGTATGAGAAATTGGGTATGATATAATATTAATATGAATAATTCTTCTATGTCTTGTTGGTACTTATCGTGACCTCATATTCTATGTACGCGCGGGGGAAGAGTATGGGGGTTTAGAGAGAGAGAAGATCTTGATAATAAATTGGAGTTTAGAAACTTTGTAATTTTTGCATGGGTGACGATGACTTCAACGGGAAGCTGACCTATGGATATATGCATATTAAAATATTGGCGGGGTATATCTCTTTTATTGAAATATCTCGGCTCTAGCCGAATTTTAGCCGAGTCTCGATCACCGATTGTCTTCCGCAATTCGCAACTCACACCTCTTAGTCTTTATTCTCCTATCACATATCTTGAGCAACCTAGATCTACGTCAGCCTCATATCCCGTCTTATGTACCTACCTATTGTAACAGGGTCACATAACGGCCACATAACGGCCACTTATACATAAGCAGTTAGATGATCGGCCGGGAGCACCGGTAAACCAATCATCACCTTCACCGGAATATCCGAGGGATCAAGCAGCATGTCAAGTCCGCGGGGGGTATTTATCGCGTATTATAATACCCTTTCTGAAATATGGCATTAGCTTCGAGAATTCCTTGCGACAGATTTTTTGCTTTATGTTGTGCCTGGTCGCGATAGTCGCTAGTCCTCCTTGTGGTATGTATTGATCAATCACTTCTCTAGCACTGACCTTGGTTCGCTTAGTTGACACATGCACCCAATTATTTCTCGCCAGGGACCGAGATCTCGGAACTCAGAGTAGTATTTCGGTATGCAAGTTATAACCCCTGATCAAGTATCGCCTACCGCTTCCCGTTCGAGCATTATACACTATGCATACTGTATCGAATCAAGTAAATATCTTTGTCTGGGCAACATCGTTGCACGTTCCGTCCCGACATAGACGCATCCGTGGTAGCTAGTGCGTGTTACGCGTTTTCATACTGCATGCGAAATGCTCCTATAGAGAGCATAGGGAAAGAGGCCGGTATCTTTTTTTTTCTGGTGTAAAGCTGTAGCCTTCTCCTGAAATCGAGCTAGGGAAAAGCTGCATGAAGATGGACTTTTCCTTCTGTCCTTTGCTTGGCCTGCGGCCCGATTGTTACCTGACTCTGACCGACTTTCAACGCCCTCTATCTGGCATAACTGCATTTTCTCTCCCCGCGCCTCGGAGGCAACATCTCTCATTCCGCGTATAGTGATGACAATCGTAGTACTAAGTGTACTAAGCTATACATGTATCTTTGGACCAATCGTTCGACTTCTCAGCCGGCGATAAGCGTGATGTTAGGGTGTGTGTAATGGGTTGCAACTGGTGAGCTGTGTGTAAGATATCCAACCGTGACGAAAAGTAAAATGTTCCTTTATCACCCATAACTCCTGAAGATCTCGCCAAACGTCCAGTCAAACCTCAGGCACTAATATGCTCCAAAGACACATCGCTCTACTTGTTTACCTACATTGGTTTTTTTTTTCAGCTCTTTTCTTTCTCTTGTCTATGATTACTGAAAGAAGTGAACGTTGAAGTTCTTATCAGTCAACATATTTTGAAAGCCGCCGTTAAATGCGAAAGATACCTACAGGAGGTAACGTAACCCCCACTGCCGCTAAACTTGGATGAGGTAGTCCCTGTAAAAACTACCATCTGATCTTATTGCTCTAAGAGGATTTGAAAATTCGCTATAGAGCTATTACTAACAGCTACTACTGCATTGGAGGTCGGTGGGCCCGAATACTCTTGTTTTAGCAAGCGTCAAAGACTACCCATAACATCTCCAGGTTTTCATGTGGCGACCCGAATGGATAGTCTGGGGTAGACTCCCCAGTTCCGGGATACTTTACTCATAAGCATCACCGTGGTTAGAATTAGCCTGAATCACAATCGCTTGGGATACTGTCTACCCATTGTGGTTTGATGCTGTAGTTACACAGTGATGGGCTGTGACCAATTCGTGACGAAATTTCAGCCACGATACGCGCCAACCTGGTGAAAGTCAAGAAATTAGGCTGCCTACCATTAGAGCCATCCATTATTCTCGAGCCGGCTTATGCCAACACAGAATTGTTGCCCTTCTACCATAGGCCATACATTGAATTCATTATATTCATGGTTGGTCATGTCTGGCTCTGACGCAGCAAGTAGAAGCTTACCTTAGGATGTCCCCCCTATCGGCTAGTAGGACATCACTCAAAGCCTGCATCGGCAGCAAGAAAAAGGAGTAAGAGCAGCATATACTATCTTTTCCAAAAGTCACAGTGGAAGTATTAGGGACTGCCGAGTTTTGAGCCATTTCCCGACACCCTGGCGGTACCTTTCATGAAATGAATCCGCGTGACCTTTCTCATCTACAGTTCTACAGCCAGGTCGGTCATACTCTATCGTAAGCTATGCCATGTTAGGCGAAAATACATCGTCATTTACTCTACGTTTAATCATAAGCCACGCACAAGTTTTGCTTCTATAGCTTCCAGGTCGTATTTGGACCAGGTCATGCATATATGAAACGATGAAACCGCCCACGACACTTTCCACCAAATATGTTCTGGATCCCGAAGTCTAGAGAAAAGGATCCACATCTATAAGGGCATATACCGGCCAATATATGGTGACCTTGAATGTACTTAGTAAGCCGGGAAGATGCCGATCACGAGAGGCTCCGTTCTTAGACCTACGGCCGCTGCAATAAAGTCGACCATAGAAGTTGGATGATGAATATGATTTGAGGGATACATACTTCCTATGGACCGGTGAGGCTTGCTCGAGCTAGAAGATATATTGGCCCTGTGATGACCATTGATGTCATTCCTACACTTATTAAGTACGTTTCATGCAGGGCTGAAAAGCTGACGAAGATCCCGTTAAATCAATTACAGATATCTAGTTAAGAAGCTCGATTACTTACCATATACCAAGAAAAATCAAGTATAGAATATGATATAACTAGTTAGCGAACATGCAACTCGGTGTGTAAGATATCATGTGGGATATTGATGTATCCACCTCGGCCAAGGATTGATAATTGCATCCCGAAGGTTTTGAACATTTACCCCTCATCAAAAACACTAGAAAAATAAAATGGCGGTCTTGACTTAGTTCTAGCCCCTCATTATTTATTTTTCAAACATCTGTATCACCTGAATTTCGTACCGAGTACGTTGACATTGTCATTTCTTATTTCCCCTTAACCTAGAATAAGCTATGGAAGATGGTGGTGTGGAACATAATGTACGTATATCCTCATTTTAACCAACCAACATATTGTCCCGCTTATATATACCTTACTTATTTTCATATATATCCCGTCCCGTGTTGTCAGCTTGTCTCACAGCGAGAGTGGTAGCTTGAAACGCTCCAATCGATATTATTGCAGCTTAGATCTTCCGAGGTCCTATTTTTACGAAGAGGCTATTCATCATGCATCCAGATTGTTCTTTGCCAATAAATTGACGAGTAGTCGCGTGCTGGCCATATATAATTGGAAGGTCAGACAGGGTAACCGTGTCGGCATAGGTGCTCACACCGTCTCCTATGAACCCAACCTGAATACTGGGCTAAACGTGGTAAGAAAATCCTTTCTTCACCAGACAATGGGCAACGAATGATATAAGACTAATACGTTACAATACGTATAGATGCAGCTGATTGTACCTACATGTAGTTCGTGACAATATTCCGCACTGCCCTGGCAGTACCTAGCGGGACGAACCCCACGGACCGGGGATGTGCTACAACAAAGGATCAACAAACTATTTTTCCTCTTTCTCCTTTCCTTCTTTGCACTTCATCATCTTTAAGCATATCCAACGTCTCTTCAACTACTAGCTATATCAGCTTCCCATCTAGCAAGAAGCCATATGACCGATTAGCCCCTCTCCTATACTTACACTACCTGTATTAGTAACATTAACACGTTCTTTTGCTCCCACACCTTCTAGCCCCCCTTGTCTAGGCTGGCCCTGATCCTTATTCGTTGCCATCTGGTAGCGCAGACTACGATTGGGATTTAACGTCAACATACTTGTGGGCCTTTTCTTACCCATTTACAACTGCCAACTCTCCCAGTACCAGGGATAGCATGGCGTGGCGTGGCATGAACGTATTGCCAGCTTCCCATCGTGGGACTAGCTCCCACATAGCCAGCCGTCCATGTATTACATTTACGTAGGTCCTTTATATCTCCTTAATAAAGCCTTACTCGACGCTACCAGTGTACTTCTCTTGCCGAAGCTAAACACCTTCCTTTCCCGAGCCTCTCTGCTAGTAGTCACTGGCAACTATATTAGTCTTTATTACTCGCATCTACTCTTCTCTACATCTAGTGCCTCAAAAGCACCCAGTAACTAACCCCTTTATCTCGTGATTGGGTCCCTGATCGCTTCTGATATCCTAGTCCGCATCAAGGATTCGTTCACTTCCTACTTAAATATTCACTAGCATCCACTGAGTCTAGAGAAGGACATACGTGACTCTTATAGGAACGGTTAGAGTTAGTCACTTCCACTTATAAATCCCATCACGGCTAGTCCGCACCGCTTCAGCTGCTTTCGGGGTTCGCCCCAACCGAATACTATATTTTGTTATTTGACCAGGCCGCTCTCAAGAGCTTCTCATTACTTTCCTCGATTCTATCTACCGTACTCCTCCCGGACCAAGACGACGATATAAACACGCCCACTCTTGCCTGCTTTCTATCCATATGGCTACCCCCGCCCACTAAACTCGATTTCGGCTTTCCTTTTTTGGGTTTATCCAGGGTCTTCTAAGCGTCAATACCCCCTTAGGCAGTCTTGACTTCTAGTCCGACGGCTTAAACACCAATCGAGAATCTGGGCAAAATCTTTTTCCAGATCCGAGCGGGAAACTCACCTCCAGGCGTCTCTGCCTAAGAGAGGAATAGAAAGGTCGTGTCTGAGATCCAGCCCGACCACAAGGGACCTACTATTACTTCTCCAGAGCCCGTAGTCTCGGTTTAATCGACCATATCTTCCTTCAATTATCAGGGTCACCTTCTCTGATGCGTGGGTCCTAATTTATTCACTCGTGAATCTCATACCTATAAATCCGCGACTCATGTCAACTAAGCAATTTGCCGGGCGTCTTCCGAGCGCTTGGAGACGAACATTTCACACTTCTCGCTTGTTGAGGAAGCCTATCAGTGAAAATGGGACCAGCGCCGAACGAGCGTGGACCAACCCGGCATATCATCAGACGAGGTGGAGCGGGCGCTCCGTGTTTGCTTTGACAGCCACCGCCAGCCTATTAGGATTCGGCCTTGCTTCTGCAACACTCCAAGGACCTCCTAAGCGTACTGTCACGCTTTTTGATAGCAAGACACCAACACCTCAATACGCATCTTTGGATGAGATGGAAGACGTAAGTCTATATATTACCTTCAGAAAGATAGACGTGTGTCAGGATATAAACTCCACTAGGACCCTTACTTAGTTTCTTCTAGGCATTAAAAGAGATTCGTCGTGAACTTGCCAAAAATGGTGAGGAAGAAGACATCATAAGCACAGATCCAGAAGACCTTCTGGCTCATGGCTATTCCGAATGGTCTACAACGAATCCGGATGGCTTACCGGTTGCGGTTGTCTATCCGCGCTCGACAGACCAGGTATCGATCCTCGCGCGAGTTTGCCATAAATACCGGGTACCCATTATCCCCTATTCGGGAGGTTCGAGCTTGGAAGGGAACTTCTCGGCCCCTTTCGGCGGCATCAGCGTTGATTTCGCGTACATGGATCAAATTATCCAATTTAACAAAGACGATATGGATATTGTCGTCCAGCCAAGCATTGGTTGGCAAGATCTGAACGATCAACTAAGCAGAATGGGTAGCGGTCTTTTCTTCCCCATTGATCCTGGTGAGTGAGCTTAGCACCTCGAGTGAATTTTCGTCATATTTCTATACCAGATGGAGGAAATTTATTTACTAGGATGATCACATCTCCTATGTCACATGCATTCACTCTCAAGGTGAAATTTCGCGAAAAAAGGAGACTAACTAAACCCCTAACTTTAGGCCCAAGCGCCAAGATCGGTGGCATGATTGGTACCAATTGTTCTGGCACAAACGCAGTTAAATACGGGACGATGAAGGATTGGGTCATCAACTTAACTGTAGTCTTGGCAGACGGAACTGTCATCAAGACGCGGAGACGTCCAAGGAAAAGTTCGGCAGGTTACAACCTTAACGGTTTGTTTGTCGGTTCCGAGGGAACTTTAGGCCTTGTTACCGAAGGTAAGCATTGATCCTCCATTTTTTTATAATATAAACATTAACAATCCGTAAGCTACTCTAAAGCTTGCCGTCGTCCCTGAGGAATTCTCCGTGGCAGTGGTAACTTTTCCTACAATTCGTGATGCCGCTTCCGCGGCGGCGGAGGTCATGCAGACCGGCGTCCCCATCGCAGCCATGGAAATCATGGACGAGGTCCAAATGAAAGTCGTCAACTTAGGTGGAGCGACCGCGCCCCGGGTATGGAAGGAAGTTCCGACGCTCTTCTTCAAATTCTCAGGGACAAAGACCAGCGTAAAGGAAAATATCACCCGCGTTCAGGCCATTGCCAAGAACAATAAGGGCAGCAACTTCGAATTCGCCAAGGATCTCCGAGAGCAGAAGCTCCTGTGGTCGGCAAGAAAGGAATCTCTATGGTCAATGCTGGCTTTGAGAAAGGAGGGCGAGGAAGTCTGTAAGTTACGCCTCTTCGTTTCTAGCTCTTTAGACGTGTCAATATTCCCGATCGCTTACCGTAAGATGTAAAAATTCTAAACCTTCACTAACAAAATTTCACAGGGTCTACCGATGTCGCAGTCCCGTTCAGCAGGTTGGCAGACATCATCGAAGTCAGCAAAAAGGAGATGGACGACTTAGGTCTATTCGCTAGTATTCTAGGCCACATCGGAGACGGTAATTTCCACGAGAGCATTATCTACAACCGGACAAAAAAAGATGAACTCGATAAAGTAGAAAAGTGCGTAAAAAACATGGTCAAGAGAGCATTAGACATGGAGGGGACTTGTACGGGCGAGCATTCTATCGGCTGGGGCAAAAAGGACTCGCTCCTATTAGAGGTTGGCCCAGACACTCTAGGCGTCATGAAGCAGATCAAGTCGGCGCTTGATCCCCTGTGGATCATGAACCCGGGCAAGATCATGGACTTCCCTTAATATCGTTCTCCTTTTTTCTAATCTCTTGTGTGAGGGGGAAATGGTCTCACAATCCGGCGCATGAGAGGATAAGACATGGAAGAAGTTTGCTGGCATATTTTGCATATGGTTCATTGGAGAAAAAAGTTGCTTGTCCCTTTTTGGAGGTTTGATTAGATGGGTAAGGTACCTAAGGTAGCGGGTAAACAGGATCTTGCATACCTCATCATGAGATAGTATCAATAGTGTCTTTCTGAGTCTCAATACGACTTTATTTATTATTATATTTAGAGGTATTACTTATATGTTTCTAACTTGGTGGAATAGTAACGTGATATATGTAGCTCCTTTGTAAAAAAAAATATTTATCCATTGTGTTGAACTTAGGGTAGTGATGGTAGTGGTGTCTTTAGATGTATCCTTTAGGAATATTTCTAGAGGAATTAATTAGACGAATGACTGTCATTGAGGGCGTATCACCCGTTTGATAGATAGACAACCCCCGTTGGTAGCATCATATCTTAGGTGCAGTTTATACCCAAGAACTCCTAAGTGGATATGGGTTTCACTTCTCGGTGCTCAAGATCTCGAGTGCCTTCTTTCATCGTACTGTATATAATAGATGGTAAATAGTTATTTCCATTTAATTATTCTATTTTAATTGATTCACCTACTACTAATTTTCCCCGAGATACTTGGGTACTCGGATGGTGTCTAATATTTTGAAGGATCTGTGACCCTTTCTTTAAGTAGTCGTTCTCATCGGCATTGGATACGAAGCCTTGGAAAACCATCAAGCAATTATCGAGCAAAATTCCAGGATATATAGGTACCTCCCTACACGTGTTCTCTCTTGACTCAGTTCCTTCACTAGAAGAAATCAAATCGACATATTTGTTAAGGAATTTATACCCAATTGATCAATGTCGTACATCGGGTAAAGGTTTAGGATAGGTTGACCAAAAGGTATAATATATTATTCTAATAATGCCCGACTTCTACTCTCTTTCTTGGGCGCGTAATGCCTTTATATAGTAGATAAACCATTGTAGGCCCTTTACCCTGACAATATTCCCCAATATGATTGCCTGAGAGCATGTACAGAATATGCATATCCGTATTATATATAGCCCCTGCCTATGTGATAGCTTGATTGTAACGAAGTATTAGTATTGTTAGTATAAATTAAATGCCTACGTAATCTATGTATATGATGGTAGTAAGGTATCTAGTTGGAGATTAGGACTGGTCGTACAAATCGTCCGAACACAATATATTTTAAGATTCTGGGATGATTTTTATTCGATTGAGTATCTAGCAACGATGTGAGTCATTAGACCAAGAGAAAATTCAGAATAGAAGGTATACGTGTGAGCAAGCGGTCTGCGACGTTTCGGCTACATGCAGGATACTTTGCGTGATGAGTGGAAACAATTCAAAGAGTATCAGTCTGCAAAATCTACCTGCCTTAGGTACTTTTAAGATACATCTTCAGATACCAAACAAGAGTTTACAACTGAGTGGAGTCCATGCTTGATGCCAACTTTTAGAAAAACATTCAAGGCAGGTGTGGCCTAGTCCATTGTACCTTACCCAAGTTTAGGTACCTACACCTATTTTTACTCGTCTTATTGCATCATCATGGTAATTGCCAACTCGGTTCGGGGAAACTGCATATGCCTCAGGTACAATATTTACATTTATGTACTAAGGTATCTAACTTGCTTGTAGACGAGTTTAAGGAAGGAAGGTTCAGAAAATAGTTACTCACTAGTAGTCTGTATTCAATAATTTAGGCGACAGCATCCTTCTTATGCCTGATTTACACATCACACCAAAACGCCTTCATCCAAGTGTTTTTTTATCATCTCTATTGAGCTTTCAACCTAAAGTCTACCAATCTTCAACTTTCTTTTCTTTACAGATAACTTAGGTACCTCGATGGAATCCTTTCTTTAAACCAAACAAGACATCCCGTGTGAGTATATTGCGAAGTTCATTCACACCTATTCACTATCTTTCTATCACTATCCTATTGACGAAGCCCAGTTGCTTAGCAAACAGCCTTCACCAAACACATCTGCCATCTCTTTCAATTCTGAATATTCTTCCACTCCAATCATTCCCACTTTACTACCCATTTGCACAGCAACTACTGCTTTCTTGGGGCAAAGACTCGATCTTATGGTCTACTTCAGCTAACAATAAACTTTACATGTAGTTTTCAACATGATCTAGTCGTAGTTTCACCTTAAGCCTCATAGTATAATGGCTCATGAAGCTCCTCAATCCCGTGGAGGCTCAGGCCTTCATCAACCACATGTCTCTTCTTTCCTTAGAGGCAGTATTCAGACACCAGAAGGAGCCTATAATCATATTCAAAGAAACCCCCCAGCCTACGATTCTCATCAAAGTCAACAACCGCTTCGTAGTACAGATGTACAATCTTACCCTGTAACATCTACTCCAAGACGTCATGGGCAGCCAAATCCCAGATATGGGTCTGCGGCTCTCCGACCAACCAAAACTCTCGCCATTAAGCCACAGTGGTCATCGTGGACTGATATTAGCCTCCGTATACGCGGCCTCCCTCCCACTACTACCACACATGACCTATGGTCTTGCTTCGAGAAGGACGGGGATATTGTGTTTATCGAGCTCTTTGAAAAGAATAACGGGGCTCGAGAAGGAAGTGCCCGTATTCGCTTCTCACCTCCTCCTGATCAGCAATTCTGGAAGAATACTATGTCACTCGACATTCAAGGTCAATCAGTCAAAGTGAGAGTTGAGCTTGAGAAAGAGAGACGGGAACGACTGATACCTGGTTCCAATAACCGTAGTTACCCACCATTCGCGAGTATTACAATGGTTGCACTTCAATTCGGGGTGCTTGCGCGTGAGGATGAACTGATGCCGTTTCAAACAATCCAAAACAACATGCGCGGTAAATTTTCTCTGGCATCTGATCTGTATCAGAAAAAACTAGAAATCGCATTTACATGCAGCATCACAGATCCGCGTCGTAAAGACCCTAGCATAAAACACCCTTCACCTATTGGGAAGATGGAAGATACGCTACAATATAAAGCAAAACTTCCATTTATACATCTCAAGAAGATCGTCTTTATAGACATCAATGAGAACACATGGGCTCTACTTATCCATCTACCTAACCCGCCCCTTTTCTATAGAAGATGTGACTACGCCGACTCACATTCAAGCAACAAGAACACTTGGAAAGAAGAACGGGATGCCTGGCATCGAATCGTTGATATTACTTATGATACATCATGGTTCAGAGATGAACCCGTCCTATTACCCAAAGCCAACCAGTTCATTAACATTGGAAGGTGGACTACTTACCGGCTCTTGTTCGAAAAGTCTTCCCTCGCTGCATGGGAGGAAATGAAAGCAGCTCTCCAGGAATTCAACATTGTCATAGATCACAAAAGCTCAAATGATATCAAGATAGTTCCATCGTTGATACCGAGCTTCTGGGATTCACTTGAACCTCAACAGCCTGGAATAGACACGTCTAAAGCTAGCTTGGCACTCCTCGCCGACGTTGAAGACATTTATCTTCCCTATGACGTCCAATACCAGCTTGAAGCGTGCATCTCTCAGGGTATCTTCAACGAGGTTAACATTACTACCGAGTTTCTCCGAAGGCTAGCAAACCTCTCGAGAGGTCGAACTCGACGTCGGGATAGGGCAAAAGACCTCTTGACGTATACATTACAGTCTCGCGTCGAAAACCGCGTTGAGAGCAGGGACAAGCTTGATGAGAAGAGAATATACGATCCGATGTCGCTTTTTGAAGACAAAACAGCGATGAGCCACTACCCGGAGATTTCACTCCCAGGACACTGCATATGGGTAAGAAAAGTAGTGGTCACACCTACAACAATGTATCTTAGTAGCCCAGCACCAGAGCCATCAAACCGCGTTCTGCGTCAGTATACCAACTACGAAGACCGGTTTATACGTGTTCAATTCACAGATGAGCTCATCAAGGGTCGTATTTACTCTGATCCCGATACTACGCGAGACAATGCTCTATTCAATCGAGTACATCGAGCATTGCAGAACGGTATACGGATTGGCGGCCGTCATTTTCAGTATCTTGCCACTGGGAACTCTCAATTTCGAGAGCACGGCGCCTACTTCTTCTGCCCGACAGACTTTTTAACCTGCGATAATATCCGGAACTGGATGGGCGATGTTAATCACATTCGAGTTGTAGCTAAGTATGCCTCCCGGCTTGGACAATGCTTCTCGACAACGAGGATACCTAAAGCATCGCCAATCGGCCAAGCAATTGTACACATTGATGACATTGAGCATGACGGCTGGTGCTTCACCGATGGAGTTGGGAAAATAGCGTTTAGCCGTGCCAAGTTCCTCATGCAGAATCTTGACATGACCAGGACCGCAAAAACTCTCCCGTCCGCTTTCCAGTTTAGGCTCGGGGGTAGTAAGGGGATTCTAGTGCAATGGCCCGATGTGCCTTTCAACGAGGTTCACCTACGACCATCGCAGAATAAGTTCAACGCAGTTTCAAAGGGCCTCGAGATTATCAAGACATCTAGGTTTTCTATCGCATCCTTAAATCGGCAGACTATTACTATTCTAAGCTGTCTTGGCGTGCCAGATGAGGCTTTTGAGGAGATGATGAAGAAGCAGATCGCCGACTACGAGCGTGCAATGACTGATGCCGAATTTGCTATGCAATTACTTAGCAAATACGTTGATCAGAATGGTATAACCACAATAATGGCACAAATGATTGCAGACGGGTTCATGGAAACTAAAGAACCCTTTTTCATGATCCTGCTACACATTTGGCGAGCCTGGTCGATGAGATTACTTCGCGAGAAGGCTCGTATTATGGTCGATAAGGGCGCATTTGTTTTTGGCTGCGCAGATGAGACTCGTACGTTGCGAGGTCATTCAGATGCAACCGATTTTAGCCAGAGCAAAGACCGGAATACCTTGCCACAGATCTTCTTGCAAGTACCCAAGACGGGTGTGAGGACAGGAGAGCAAGGTGAATACACCGTTATAACTGGAATATGCGTGCTCGGGCGGAACCCATCGCTCCATCCTGGAGATATTCGAGTAGTGGAGGCCGTAGACGTTCCGGCATTAAGACACCTCCACGACGTCGTTGTATTCCCCACGGTTGGAGATCGCGATATTCCCTCTATGTGTTCCGGGGGAGATCTCGACGGGGACGATTACTTTGTGATATGGGATCCTCGGCTTATACCTACGGAGTGGAATCACCCCCCTATGAAACAAGAAAATCTCAAGCCAAAAGAACTCGATCGTGACGTAAAACTAACAGATCTCATTTCATTTTTCGTCAGCTACATGAAGAATGACTCGCTTAGTACCATTGCCCACGCCCATTTGGCCAAGTGTGATTCATTGACCGATGGTCCCAAGGACCCGCAGTGCATCGAGTTGGCACGCTTACATTCCAATGCCGTCGACTACCCAAAGACTGGACAGAAAGCTTACCTGGAAGCGTCGTTACGACCCAAAAACTATCCGCACTTTATGGAGAAAGCACCAAGCAGAACATATCGTTCGACAAAGATTCTTGGTCGACTATACGACCAAGTGGCGCAGATTGAATTCAACCCGGAGTTGGACGGCACATTCGACCAGAGAATTCTTCGTAGATACTCGCTAAAATACGAGCTATTAAAAACAGTAAGGATGATAAAGAGACAACATGATAAGGCCATGCGACAGATCATGAATCAGCATGACATTGAAACTGAATTTGAAGCCTGGTCAACATTTATGATGTCCAAACCCCGACTTGGAGGCGAATACAAGCGGCAAGAGAATATGGAACCAGTAATGACGAGCCATAGAGAACGCTTCAGAGATGCTTGCATCAAGCTGGCGGGATCTAGAGATCCTGACGCCTTATATCCCGTGGTAGCAGCTACCTACCGCGTCACGTGGGAAGAAGTGCAGATCGCACTAAGGCGAGTGCCAGCAGCCGTCGGAGAGACAGAATCAAGGATGTATTCGATGCCGTTGATTAGTTTCCCGTGGGTTTTTGAGTACGAGCTAGGTCGAATAGCCATGGCGAAGGACAAATTCGAATTAGAGGAGGTACCCAAGCCGACAACAGCACTATTAGATGATGACTACACAGACGACGATGACGAGTTTAAGCGAATCATTGGCGCCAGTATCAGTGGCTCGGACGAAACGGATGACGTTGAAGGCCTATATACTGGTCAAAGCATTCAAGCGACCCAAGTCGCAGAAGTGGTCGAGGAACAATCCACTACCCACGAGGAACTAGTGGAGCTGGAAGAGGACGAAGATACGGGTATGGATGCTCTGGCTAAACTGACTGACTAGGTAGTTTACATGAGAATATGCCCAAATTAGGAGTGTTAGGATGCCGTATGAGAAATAATGGAAAAAAAAAGTTGACCTGTGAGAGGTTGGAGATGTGCGATGTGTTCACGATCAGGAGGCAGGAAGACGCAAAGTGGTTTTAGATAATTAGCTGAAGTAGCTGTGCACCATAGTTTGCTGTCTCCTGACTTAATAATATAGCAGTGCATTCTCGATTTGAACTAATGCCCATTGTAAAGAAGCTTGAATAAAATAAAGTTGACAAGAAGCATCAAGATACATATCTTTGACCTGTCAGTGCACGGAGTGTATGAATACATATAAATGCATGAGGTACCTACGTAGGTGAATGACTAAATGCATATAGCTACCATAATATGTATACGGTTAGGTACATACAAAGTTAATAAGTAACTACCTACGTAACCTAAGGTAAGTGCGGCGGAAGAGGGTTGATCCTCAAGCGAAAAAAAAGGAAAAAGTCTTGGCAACGCACAATTTCCCAATGCCGACTCGCCCCAACTTTCAGGCCTCATCGCCCCTCGATTGATGATTGATTGATTGATAGAGCTACGATATTCTAACGATCAAGGAAAAAATATCGCAATTCATTTTGAGGTAAGTTTGGTATATTCATTTTTTGAAGCTCTGTAAATATCCAATCTTGTTTTGTTTTTTATCATAAACGTATTTTATTAAGCTGTCCCGCACCAAAATTCATCAACAAAATACCTACGATAACTAACCATTACCATTATCCATCTCAGCTTATTAGCCCTTCTGCTCTCTTTCAACCCACCAACCATTCCACCCCGAACACCCGAATAGAGATATCTCTGCCCACAACCATGGCCGACGTGCAGGAGATCCTTAAGAAGAAGTTCGGCGGTGCTGCGCCTTCGCGTACCGGTACGTAATATCGCCAAGTTTTTAATATTTATTAAAAAAGCAAAGCCATTAATAAAAATATTTGTGGTGCGCAGGTGGAAAGGGAACCCCGCGACACAAGCAAAAGCGGAACGTTGCTCGAAGCGCCAACGACGACAAGAAGCTACAGGCTACCCTGAAGAAGCTCAACACTCAGCCTATCCAGGCTATCGAAGAAGTCAACATGTTCAAGAGTGACGGAAATGTTATTCACTTCTCCGCTCCTAAGGGTGAGTTTATTTTTAAATTTAAAATACTTATATGCATATATGTGTACAAAGAGAACAAAGAAATAAGTATAAAAGATCACTTGCTAATATCTACTACTAGTTCACGCTGCTGTTCCCTCTAACACATTCGCTATCTACGGCGCTGGTGAGGACAAGGAGCTTACGGAACTTGTCCCTGGCATCCTAAACCAGCTCGGACCCGACTCTCTAGCTTCTCTCCGAAAACTGGCCGAGAGCTACCAGAGCATGTCCAAGGAGTCTAAGGAGGCGGACGCAGATGCGGACGATGACGACATCCCCGACTTGGTCGCCGGCGAGAACTTCGAGAGCAAGGTCGAATAAACGACCTTTTTTAATCGGCACACCTATTACAAGAGGACCAAAGATACCAGACTTACTCCCAATCCAACACCACCCTACCACCCCTTTTTCGTTTTTACGAAACGAAAATAAAGTACGCGGAAAGATAACATAATGGAACGGAGCGCAAACAAAAATAATGGGAATGAATATGGGGCATTTGGTCGAATCCGGTTTGATGGTGGTCTTTTTTCTCTCAATCTCTCATGTTCTCTCTCTCGCGTGCAAGGAGGAAAGGTCGGAAAGGGAGTTCCTCGGTAGCTGTCCTTTTGCAATCAGTTAAGGGCGATGGTGGGATTTTTCCCCTTTCCCTCCCTTGCCCACCATCGTCGTCACATCATCATCATTTTAGGTAATCTGGGCTGGGTGGTTGGCTTCAGGGTCCGCGAGGGGCTCCGGCCTCCCCCCATTTCCCATTCCCTACGGTAGCAGCTTGCGTTAGTCGTATTTCGTTCTTCCGCCAGGTTCTGCTAGCAGGTTTTTGCCTTAGATACCTCCGCAGGGCGTGGTGGTGAGGAATCGATGCCACTGCTTGTGCGAAATAAGAAGAAATATGCTGTAAACGTGTCGTTTCTTGATTGTGTTTATGCAACTTATGTCTATGATATGAACTATCTACAGGTTAAAGGACTCATCGCCTAGGTTCCTTACCCATCCTTTTAGTGCTTCGACTCTAACCTTGTCTTTAACTCGCCTTCGAGGCTCTAGTAATGCACAGTCCTTCATCTCGCCGTACGTCTCCATGGTAAGCGCCCTTCGTATATTAGCAATGGCAGATGTATTTACAGGTTCTGCCTCGCCCCCTTCGTCCCCCGCTCTTAGTAAAAGTAAATCGGCTACCTCGACAGCAAGTCCCCATATTCTCCGTCTCGAAGCGAAGCTAGCCCCTCGTGCGTCAGCCGCAGACTGCTTCCGCCCCTGTAAGATACCGCCCAGTGTGGTTTCTTCGAGGCCGGAGCGCGTCCAGGCTGTGGAGATGTTGCTGGCTGACACTTTTTGCGCGGGCGGTTTCTTTTGCTTATTGGTAATGTCATCTTGGTTGATGCTAATGGTGGTAGCTTGGGTTACGGTCCGCTGGGAGAAAGCGAATTCAGATGATGTTGTTTTGATGGCGAAGGGGTGGAAAGTGTAAGGAGATTCTTGTTCTCCCTTTAGCTGCTCTTGTTTTTCCGCTGATGCCATACTTCTCATACGTCCATCTATAGGGGAAGAGGAAAAAGAGCGACGACAGGCGGATTCGGAGTACCGGGATTCTGGCATGACTAGGGTATGTATGAAGACGTGGCGCGGATCTACCAGGATTGCGGTTGTGGATGAGAGCAACGAGACGCATTGCCGTATAGCTAGTTTATCGGAGCACGACTTGGACAACGTAGGTGGCGCATCCGAACGTGCAGGCTTCCGCCGGACGACACCTAATTGGGAGAAGTAGGCGCGGCCGGGTAGGGAGGTTGAGGGATCAGTAGTATAAAGAGGGTCGGCAAGATTTACTGGTGGTGGTTCCCATGGCGTAGCATCTTCTTGAGCCGCCATTATTAGTTCCATACTTGCATCGCCACAAGGTGCCTCAGAACAATACATGTGTAGGAGAATGTCTTCCTTCCAAGTGAAAGGCTGTCCACACCATCTGCTTCCTTGCCCTTCTAGTTCTCTTGCTTGAGTATCATCACAGGAACTTGAAGCTATTTCATCGGCAGTCCGCCATCGTAGAAACTCAGACGAGCACCCCTGAGTCAATAATTTACACTCGTCGAGTACGAAGCGATTAAATGCCCGTATAGCTAGCACTTCCGCATGCCAGTCGTGCAGTACGTTCCCTCGTGCTTGCGATACTTTGGACGAAGGGAGGCATTTCATGCCTGTTCTAGACCGGCGCCATGTCAGATCTTAAGGTCTTCTACTACGGCCAGGTGAATTTAATTGGGAAATAAGAGATTTTGAGAGGCTGACCTACGCGAGAGCTAAACACTTCAGTTCACCATCTTGTCCTATTACTAGGTATTAGTCTAGGAGGACCTGATATCTCTATATACAAATTGCCATTGAAAACACTAAAATTACATGTAGAATGGACTGGAGGAGGGCCGCGTTATAATATACCTTGAGCCACTATACCAGCTAAAGGTACCCACTCACGTATCCCGCTGCCCCTGATAAGTGGTTTCCTCTTTGCTGGAAGAGAATTATAGTGGTTTTGTACTAGAATAGCGATCTCATCTGCTGCGACAGACATTGGAATATATTCGGAATCTTGAATCTTGGATGGTAAATCCAACAAAGCAACCATATTTAAAAGATTTATCAAATAACTTCAATTATAAGAATATGATAACCAACAAAAACATATAATCAAAGTCGAGAGACTCTAAATATAATGTAAAGTCGGCGAAGTGAGAAGAGTTAGGAGACTATGTAAATATCGTATATAGTATGCAGCAAGCGAAGTATTGCAATAATGGAACCTTGGAATAGATGCTCTACATAGTGGACTGTTTGCTCATCCCCCCACCAGCCACACTCCACCAACTAAGCCACATCAAGCGAGACCCTAAAGCCTAAAGGCCAAAAAAAATAATGGGGCTTAGTCATGCAGCCCACACAAGTGCGCAACTTTGACATTTACGAAATTCGTCCTCTTAACATAATCCAACCAAAATCACCTCGAAACTACTAACATCACAGCAGTCAACCAAGTTCTCAGCGCACAATAACCGCCACCATGAGAACTTACGACGACACCTTCTCCGGTCAGAGGATCTACCCTGGCAAGGTACGCATACTCCCCAATTCGATTCCATATTTCCCGACAAATATACCAATACATTGTATCAATTGCTGTAATTCCCGAGGAGGGTCAAAAAGAAAAAGAATAAAGAGAAGGATAATGCGATGAAGCAGCATTCAATCACGAAGTTTTATTTACCGTGATGTACAACATCAATACTAACGCGACTATCTAAACAGGGTAAGCTCTACGTCCGAGGCGACAGCAAGGTCTTCCGATTCCAGAACGGCAAGTCCGAGTCGCTCTTCTTACAGCGAAAGAACCCCCGCCGAATCTCATGGACCGTTCTCTTCCGACGACAACACCGCAAGGGTATCTCTGAGGTACGCTCCCACCCGCATCTCTCAGGTTGATGATGGTGATAACGAAGTTTAAATATTTCATCACCGAAGACAGAGAGACATGCATTTATTTTTATGGCCAATATCGAGACGGTACGCTAACACCCGCCACAGGAAGTCGCCAAGAAGCGCACGCGCCGCACCGTCAAGGCCCAGCGAGCCATCGTCGGCGCCTCCCTCGATGTGATCAAGGAGAAGCGATCGATGCGACCTGAAGCCCGCTCCGCCGCCCGCGCCCAGGCCATCAAGGAGTCCAAGGAGAAGAAGCAGGAGGCCGCTGCCGCCAAGAAGTCCGACAAGGCCAAGAAGGCTACCACCGCCGCCAAGGGCCAGACCCAGCGCATCGTCGGCAAGCAGAGCGCCCGCGGCGCCCAGCCCAAGATCCAGTCCAACACCCGCTAAGCCAGTCAGTCTCCTGTCTGTCTGTGAAAGTCAAGTTCGGGTCTTGGTTGGGGTTTTGGTTCGGGAGGTTGTTAGGTCAATCTTCTGGCGATGGGTTCCTAGGGTGAATGGTTTTTAAAGTGGTGGTGCAAGGACAAAAAGAGAGAGAGAAAGGGGTGATGATGATGATACAGCATAGCATCTCTAGTGTTGTTGTTGTAGTAGCCCTCTTGCGTCCGGCGGCGTCTTCGGTGGGAAACAGTTTTCTTCCTCGATTGCGAATAAAGAGAAACCTTCACGTAGCACACACATATCTATTCGGTTGGGGGGAATGCATGGAATCTCTCATGGTTAACATGGTCATGGGAATTCTAAACCTGGTAGCTTCATAATACCAGCTCGTTCTACGGTCTGAATTCGTATATCTCGTGGGCTCCTTTCGCCATGTGAAATAAGATATTTGGTTGCTGAATTCAAGTTCACGTACTCAAGTGCACATTTATAAAATCTCGTATGGAATAACTCATACCAAGAATATACAGTATTCGGAGCTTTATCGGCAAACTTGCACAATGCGGTACATAGGACAGGCCATTAAATGAGCAGAATAGAATCTATTAAACGTAGTTTATCTACTAACTTCTAATTCGGAGGGGGCTTTATTCTAGAGCACCTACCCAGCTAGCTAGATAGATGTCTTCTCACGTAGGATCAAACCGCGCCTACTCAGCGGACGTCTCGGTAAACTTGACCCTCGTCCCCTTTCTAGTTTCCGCCCATTGCCTATCTTCCTACTCTATAACTCGAAATCCAGTTTCAGTGTGTGTGTTGGTTGGTATCATGGGTAAGGTAGGGAGGTTCTTTTTTCTTATAGCTTAGCCAAGACAGCGTCGACGCCGGAGACGGTGACGCCCTTGTCAGGCTCCTTCTCGGCGTAGACAACCTTGCCGTGGTCGACGACGATAGCGTAGCGGGCGGTGCGGGCGCCGAGGGTCCAGCCGATGCTGTTGCTGAAGGGGGCGCCGTCGTCGGAAGCGAAGATCTGTTGTTTTTTGTGTTAGTTACTTGGTTGTTGAGTTTGGTATGATTGGAGCGCGGCAGCCATTTTATACATGTGGCGTCCAATGAAGTTTTTTGCTGTGACAGGAATATTCCTGTTTTGGAAAAGAGGAATAAATGAATGCAAACTTACAATCTCGTCCTTGATGCCGTTGGCCTTGGCCCAGGCTGCTTGGACCCAAGCGTCGTTGTAGGAGATGACTAGGACCTGGTCGACGCCGGCGGCCTTGAGTTGAGGTAACTTCTCAATGTAGCCTTGGATATGAGTATTTTGGCAGGTGGGTGTGAAAGCGCCGGGGACGGAAACGATGACGAGTTTCTTTTCTTTGGCTTCTGCGAGGGGTGTTAGTTACATACTTTCTATAAAGCAGAGAAGGAGAAAGGAGAGTTTCTAGAAGAAGGGATTATACCTTTGCTGGCGTCGTACTTGACGGGGATACCGCAGGCTGTTACGCCGGCGAGCTCTGGGGTGTAAGGGACGTAGGTGAAGGTTACGCCTTCTGGGAAGCTATCTCCGGCCTTGAGGGTAGTCATTGTTGCTGATTTATATATGAGGTTGATATTCGAGGTGGTTGTTCTACTGTATATAAGTGTGTATGTGTGCGTATGTGTGTATATGTGTGTATATGTATATACGATGAAGATGAAGATGAAGATGAAAGGGGAACTTAAAAGTCGTGTGGAAGTGGTTGGCTACCCTATTATAGCTCTAAATAGCTCTTAACAGCTCTAGACTTGGGATCGGGACAAGGCGATTTATTGTTACAGTAAGATGGTAGCCAAGTCTAAGATAGCGTTGCGAGTTCGGATACCAAGGATCCCGTCTCATCGACCCTGCAGTTTTACTACGTGCTTCTCTTTTAAAAGTCTACGGGTATTTCCATTACTACTGCCTACCTTAAGTAGGTACATGTACGTAGGTATGGTCCTTCCCATATGTTATGTATGTAACCTGAAAGTAAACTAAGTTAAAAGATACATGTAACTACTTGCATGAATACATCTTGCATTAATACTTGCATATGTACATCAATGTGAGTAAGAGTTTGCATCGTACATGTACAAAGCCGGCATTATGCCAAGGCATATACATATACTTACATTGCATCAATATTCATATATACTCGACTATAGACGGCATATTACCGCGCGGTCGCAACAACAATACATATAAATTAATATAATAAGCGCGCTGGCATCATCTCTTTGCCGCCATTGACAATTATGATGATGGTGGGGTCTAGATGTTGTTGGTGGGGTAAAAGGAACCTTGATGCCCGTAAGAGGGGTTTTGCTTTGTTACTGTTTGTATACTTCGTCTATGAATTCTATTACAAGCAATAGATCAGATAAAGAATGTGTGACCTACATATTTAGTGTGTGACCTAGTACACATAGATATGTAGCCAGGTTATGTAACTACCTAGTTCCCATAACGCAGGTGCGGCCGCCTGTGCCGCTCGCGAGCTTTAACTAATATTTCGTCATTTCATCATTTCGTCATTAAGTTAAGATAGGTATTTTTATGTTCCATACGGATCCGTCCATTGTTATCCACTGGAAGCTTAGCTACATCTCCTATCGATACGCTTTAGTAATTCTTCATCTTCCTCAATAGTCATCCTCGGCATAAAATTAACAACCTATAACACAATGCCCATATAATTCTTTATTCAACATTTGGGAAAAGGGCCGTTTACAGACTACATGTTTCGGAATCTTAGGATAGACATGATATGACACGACAAAGTGCCCACCAAAGCGTTCAAAATGGGGTGGGGGCTAGCAAGCGGATTTACATAAATTATTTGATTGCTAAGCTAAAGAGGGCATGTGAAAGAAAAAGTTTGATAAATTTGGAATTGGTTACGTATAAACTAGTGTTTGATCGATCAGAGTATGTAACTTGGAAACGCGTAATGACATGTGTATATCAGCTAAAGCCTAACATTAGCTAACAGAGTAACAGTATTTCAAATGAGTTACCCTCCGATGTTACCTATACCCCTATCTGCCTATGCCCCTGAATTCCAAATTCCAGTCAAGTCTTACATAGTACAATGCCTCCGGATTAAGCATACACATGCATCACGACGATCCGAGAACTTCTGAGTCAAGGGATGGTATTTGAGTTATTCGTGACCTGTTGGAAATTGAAATATCTATTTCCATCGGGGATAATCCTAGTATAAGTAAATATCCCTGGATAGAAACAGCAAGTATCCAAGGAGAATGTTTGACATCACTAACACCGATGTGCGGTACCTTTCGGGACACCTTTTAATTTACTATTTATTTTCGGGCCTCGCCGTGCGGGAATTGAAACGGAAAAAGAGGGACATATCGACCGGTTATACCATTGATTGATTACCATAACATTACCTCCCAAGGTATACAATCAATATCCTAAATCGAACCCCGAGGAAAAGTAAATCGCTGAGTCCTAAATTACCTAACTACGCGCCTTTTAATACCATGATTTCTCCATAAAAGTTGACATGAACTCCGGAAATAGATCATTTAGGTTAAATGAAGTTAGACGTATACTAAATGCTGACGTTCTCGAATCCCGAAAGCTGCCGAGCGGGGTCCGGCGCTGTAGACATCGGCACGTAGTCATCTCCGGCCTTGAATTTTGACTCCCTGCTTCATTCAACGGAGCTTAAGTATGGCGCTTGGTGAGAGCAAAATACAAATATATATAAAGAGGTAGAAATAAAGGGATATTTATACTTCTAAGTCGATCCGATAACAACCACTTATTAAAAATAAGTTAGGAGAGATAAAAGAAATAAGTGTAAATATAACACCATGGCCAGCGACAACAAGGGAAAGCCCCCGTACCCGCCTTTCACGGCCGAAACAGCTCAGATCAAAGTGAAGGCTGCTCAAGACGCCTGGAATACCAAGTACATTTATCCCATTTCCCTCCTTTTCTCACTTGACGAGGACAACCAGGGAGATCGATCACAAAATATATGACATAGAAAAGATGAAATGCTAACCTGCCACTCCCGAAGGGATCCGGCAAAAGTAAAATTGGCCTACACGCCAGACTCTATCTGGCGAAACCGAGGCACTTTCATACAGGGCCGAGACGAAATCGAGGCCTTCCTAACGAAGAAGTGGGAGCGCGAGCAGGGATACCGACTCCGCAAGGAGCTTTTCGCTTTCACGAACAACAAGATCGCCGTCCAGTTTTGGTACGAATGGTATGATGCAGAGGGCCAGTGGTGGCGGACATACGGGCTCGAGGACTGGACATTCGCTGATGATGGGCTTATGAGGAAGCGTCAGAGTAAGTCACCTGTACTTTTTATCCGATTCCCTAAAGCTTTTTGGTCACTGCTATTTTTTTGTTCGCGGAAAAGATGTGTCTGCTAACTCGGCTGCTTGCTAGTGAGTGGTAATGATGTTAAGATCGCCCACGAAGAAAGATGGTATAAGGATGGTGTAGATGTGAATACGGTCCCTATCTCCGAGAAGCATTGGTAACTCGAGAAGACTTCTTGGTTGAGCAGTGATGTGGATTCGAAAGTATACTATTGCCGTATGACTCGAAGGATATATTTTTAGAGACTTTGGTGTAAGCAACATGTTACCCATAAGAACTAGAAATATAGCAAAAACCATCACTTCATATAATGGCTATGCTTAGAGTTTACACGGGAATTCCGAAGCTAGAATAATCACCAACGTTATGGATGCTCGAAAGAAGTAGCAAACTGTATAAAGGGGGTTAGATGGTAAGAAGTAATAATCATCCTCTATTCCTCGTCGAGGCCACGAGATTATATTTCTTACTACATGCGTGCGCGTGCATAAAATACTAACTTGGTAGATACAAGCCACATCGCTTCCACTACAGGTCACCAGGTTCTTCAATGTTATTTATGTAGTCAAGATGCTACTTAAAAAACCAGGTATCAGGGTAAGATATAACTAGTTGTAAATACATCTTAGATTTTCAAGATAGTTCTTATTATCCACAACTAATAGGTCTTCGAAAAGTTTTGTATCTTGCCATAGTTACAAATAAAGTGATGCGATACTTATTAACTGCTCCTAGTAACTTCTCCACCAAATAACATTGATGATCCTAGTTGACTGTACATGGTTTCGAACTAGGGTAGAGATCTAAACCCGGGTTTCTGGCGGCTTGATTGATCCAGGAACGATACAAATGTCTTAGGCTCTTTCCGGCCCCTGGGATCTGAGTGGCTATTGTACGACAGGAGACGTGAAAGGGTATGGTATGTAGGCACTAACTTAACTGCCGACATACATAGAAGTAATGGAAACTGTTCCTAAGAGAATGTGCATGAATTTGGACGATACAATTTAAAACTATTCGACTATTTAACGGGGTCTAACCACCTATAAGCATATGACATCGACCATCGCAATCTTATGGTACCCAAAAAGCACAAGATCAAGACCCGATGCATGGCATCACAACCCCTGTAGCGATCTCATAGATTTTGCAACGCTGATCATATTGTGGAGATGATAGGGCCAACTCAGGGGTTTCTCGACCTTTCAGCTGGCGTGGTTATTCTAGAAATACTTTATACTTTAAGAGTGAAGCTGGCGCTTACTTGATTCAAACGCGTCGGCGTTCTACTTCATACTTCATACTTTATGATTTCAAATAATGCTCTCAACTTCAATATCACAATAGTGTAAAGCCAACTCTATGAGAATCTCATGAATCCAAATGAAACTTTCATTGAACTTGTAATCATGGGGAGATGTATTTATCTATTGCTAATTACTGGTTGTCGACTTAAAGATGAAGCAACTTTTAATAAAATATTTTTAACGCTAATGTAATTATTTCACTAAACTATTAATCTGTATGGGCCGTTCACCCGTTGTTCAGATTATACCTAGGTAATTAACATCCTCATACCTTGCGGTAATTTTTCTTGTCTTGAATAAAAAAATCTAATGGGGCTACTTCTTGAAGAATTGTTTTCAATATCATAAACCTTCTATAAGCTTATGGCAATGGTCAGAGAATAATTTCAATTGTTTAGAATAATTACAAAAAGAATTCCACTAGCCCTACCGTCATAGATATGAATCGATTCCTATCAAGCAACCGAGAAAGTGAAAGTAGTGATACTTCACTCAAATCGAGCCAGCTAGTCTTTTCATCTAGTATCCCTGAAGCCCTCACCTTTGACAGGATTTTGAGTGGTGGAACTTGTCCAGTGAGCACCTCAAACCAACACCACTACAGCCTATAAACTAACAAAGTCACACTACAAAGCCATGTACTATTCATGACTTTATGAATTACCTACTCTATATCGAGCATTCGGCAGAGAACCTACAATTCTACCTTTGGTACCGCGATTACATAAAGCGGTTTGACGAAGCCGACACTGTAGACACGAATCTCTCCCCAGAATGGACACAAGCAATGGAGGGCGAGGCGAGGGCCAAGATCCAAAAGGACGTCAGACGAGAGCCGAAAGAAGCCGATATGTTAAAGGGTACTGACTTGGAGAAGGGGGTAATAGATGTAATAATAGAAAATGGTGACCCCTTTTCGACACCCCCTTCTACGCCTAGTATGAGTATAACCCCTTCCTTTCTATCGGATTCCCAGGCCTCTAGTTACCGTTTGCAATCCCGAGATGCTTTTAGTGCTGCTGGTGCTATACAACCATGTAAGTCGCGTCTAGGTACCAATTCCAATACGCGTATCACCACTAATATCTTACCTAGTCACTATCCAACCCTTCAGAGCAGAGATCAATCGCTTAATCGCAATTTATATCTCAGACGACGCCCCGAGACAACTTAATCTCTCGAGCCGAGAACAAAAGGGTGTCATCCAAGCCCTCGCATACACAACGCACCCGTCAGCATTCCGGACCATCGCTAAAAGCATAGAGGACACGCTCCGACGCCAGGCGCACCCGAACTTCATCCGCTGGACCATCTCTAACGGCAACCCAGCACGAGTAGCCTTCGCGCGAAGCCTAAGCGTCGGTACGATCTTCTGCACCACAACAGGCGCTATAATCCTCACTCTGAGTTCCGCAGCGCGAGGCTGGCGCGCGCTCTTCGCCATCGGTTGGGTCCTAGGCATCGCGGCGCTAATTACGTCATGGAAAGGGATGTGTGTGATCCTACACGGGCTACATCGCCGACACGTGCGGCCGTGGGAGCTCATCGACTCCGCCGCATCGTGCGACGAGTCTGAACTATGCGATCGGAGTAGAGACGCGGGAGAAGACCGGAACTTTGACTCGTTTAGCTCTAGTAATAGCTATAAAGACGAGCCGTGGGTGGCGCGGTACGAGCGCCGCGGACTGCTGCGGAAGGTGTTCGATCGTGAGGTCTGGATCCAGGAGCCGGCGCTTAGGCACATACAAGACGTCATTTTTGTGCAGGCGCTGCTTGGTGCTCTGTTAGGTGCTGGCGTGCTGACGGCTGTGTTTGTGAATGTGCCTGCTGGGAGGTTCTTCTGAGGAGACGAGGAGATTGGTGAGAGGAACATACATGGGTTGATATGCTTGTTAGATAGTACCTAGGTAGGTAGGTAGGTAGGTATCATGTCTAGATATTGTTATATTAATCAACATGAGTACCCGCCCGGGATACCTACCTAGGAAAAACAACTATATGTATACCTCCTAATGCCGTCAAGGGTGTGTATATAGATAGATAACCTTATTATGTTAGGGGTATTTAGGGGTATGTTTATTTCGGTATGCTGCGGTTTCATATTTGGGTTTGTAGTAGTACCTCGGGCTATTCGGGTAGACGCAGCGGTAGGATCCGTTAGGTACCTAGGTTGGCATGTTACACTATAAAGGGTGGTTACTGCGCCGCACGTAGGGTTTTTGGAGGGTCAAACCACGCTATCATTACTATCGATAAGATATAAGCATGACATACTGTGGGGTAGCATACGTAGAACTGGTCAATCACATTTGTTGAACATCGTCTTTTCCTAGTCTTTTCCCTTTTACTGATCCATCTGTCCATGCAAATCCATGTTCATCCTGTCCCACCAAACCAATTCGTACTTCTTTGAGGCTGTCTTGGCTCTGACTCCCTTTCTCCGTTCCGTGGTACATTTTGTCATCCTAAGCATAAATCTAACCGCTAATTCAAATGCCCTCATCGTTTTCGCTTGAGCCTGTTGTTAATTATCAAATATTCATTCTAGCTTCTAGCTTCTAGCTATCGAAACAAGCTTTCAAGTTTATTCCTGAATTCATGCCTCCTTAATTTGTTTCTACTCATGGGCTTCTGAGCCAACAGAAGCTTTGATTATCACTTATATCTATATTTCTGCCCCTCTCCCCACTCATCTGCTCCATAGCCCCGCCTCAGAACAACGAGAAATATGTCTGGAGACACCTACCAAGCCGATGCCGCCATTGTAGACGCCGAGAACGACGAGAAGATAGACGCGGCGCAACAGCCCGCTAAAAGACCGCGCACCATGACGAGTACGGCTGAGATCGATAGTACCATAATACATCCCGGCTCCGTTCGTATCAATGTCAAAGGCGCATTCATCGTTGATACACCTGAACAGCCTGGTACTCCCGCCAATTTGTCCGGGTCTGGTGGTAGTAGTTATTATGAGACAAAAGATATTCGCCTTCCTAATCATACGGCTGTCGTCAGCCATATCGCTGTTGATGTAGGCTTTCTCTATAAGACCTAGAGTTTGCGATTGAGTTCTCCGAGCTAAATGCGCAATTCCCTAATCTAGATCGGTGGTTCGCTAGCTAAGCTGGTCTATTTCTCCCGCGAAGCGCATTCGACTGATCCCGGCGGCCGACTGAATTTCCAATCTTTCGAGACGGATCGCATCGACGACTGTATTGAGCTTATGCGACATCTACAAGACAAGCAACTCGCCCTCAATGGCTCTAAGCCTGGTGAATTATGCGTAATGGCGACGGGAGGCGGTGCTTACAAGTACTACGATAGAATCCGACAACGGCTTGGTGTTGACGTCCTACGAGAAGACGAAATGGAATGTTTAATTATTGGTTAGTCCTGAATGCGCCGGTCCTAAAAGTCTCAGAAGCTAATATTTGCGTCGTTGCAACAGGTCTCGATTTCTTTATAACCGAAATACCACGCGAGGTCTTCACGTATTCCGAGACAGATCCTATGCACTTCGCCTCGCCCAACGTTAATATTTACCCTTATATGCTCGTAAATATAGGGTCCGGCGTCAGCATCCTTAAGGTTTCCGGCCCACGAGCCTACGAGCGCGTAGGTGGTACATCCCTTGGTGGGGGTACCCTTTGGGGAATTCTGTCGCTTCTTACACCTGCCGAGTCTTTCGATGAGATGCTAGATATGGCCGCGCATGGTGACAATGCCAAAGTAGATATGCTAGTTGGCGATATCTACGGCACCGATTATGGTAAAATTGGGTTGAAAAGCACCACAATCGCTAGTTCGTTCGGTAAAGTCTTCCGTATGAAGCGAGAAGCAGAGAATGAGGCTGAGGATATGGGTGGTCTTTCAAACGGTGATGACCAAAACCGACGACAGCAGCAGAAGAACTCGGAACAAAATACTTCAACAACAAGCTGTTCGCAAACACAACAACAGCGTCCTACATCCTCTCGAGCAAGCGAATTAGCGTTGTCCCGTTTCTCTAGTGCTGACATTTCGCGATCCTTGTTATACGCTATCAGTAATAACATCGGGCAGATCGCATACCTGCAGTCGCAAGTACACGACTTGTCCCGCATATACTTCGGCGGGTCTTTCATCCGCGGCCACCCGCAAACTATGAATACGCTGAGCTACGCCATCAAATTTTGGAGTAAAGGCCAGAAGCAAGCGTACTTCCTACGACATGAGGGATATCTAGGTGCCGTAGGCGCATTTCTCAAACACCAGCCCCGAAACTGGGGTCGGAGAGGAAGTTTCGAAAAGGGTGAGGGACTAGAAGCACGAATAAGAGAGCGTGCGGACGAGAACGCTATATGATAAAGCACCGTCCGTTTGTGAGGAATGTTTATGATGATAATTTTAATCATGGCCAGTGAAAGAGTAAAAGGAGAGCCGAGCGATTTACGCTAGAGTCCCTGAGTTGGGACATAGGCAGCACTAGAGGATATCAGCATCACCGCGAGCCGCCAACCCATTGCATACACTTGTATTCTTTACATTAGGTACCTCCTATGTTGAGGGGTATCGTGTCATAGTATGGAGCAATGTTTTCTTTTCATGTAACAAGTTACTATTAGGATACACATTCGCGGTGGCCGTAGAAACATGTCCGCGCAGGAATCAATTAGACTACTGAACAATTTATTACCTATCGTTATACCCCAAACTATCATTCAATTGGACATATTAAGCACCAAATATCCTCAATACCCTTAACACCATTACCTACGGCTCGGCACCCTCAGCACCCTCGCCAACAGCACCTGGCCGGAGCGAGTGCTGCGACGGAGAGAGAGGAGACGTTTGAACTTCGGCCTGCAGTTTCCTATATTCGGAACAAATTGCAGGATGACGAGGCCAAGTTTTGCATGGTAACCGTGAACCCATTCACCGAGACCCTTAGGCAGGAGATTCAGGCCCACGGAGAAGTGCAGCATCCTTGTTCCATCCCGGCAGGGACCCTCGGCATTAATGACCTGGTCTTGAGTATTTACAATTGGCTTCCTACTCTTGAAATATCCTTCGACGGTTCTCTATCTCTGAAAGATCACTTCAAGTTGTTTCCCGGAATGATGCGCGCAGTAGACGGTTGGCCGAGCGAGTCAAGGTCAGCACCCTGAATGGTTTCCAAGGCGGACAGGCAAATCTCGTCATCTTAGACTACACGCGCTCCGACCGGCCTGGATTTACCGGTGGTTCTCATCGTAACGTAGTCGCGCACACTCGCGGTGTCCAAGGTAAGATAGTCCTCCTCAATGAGTCGCTACGGAGAGCCTCATCTTAAAGCTGACTACCTACATAACGCCTCCGTCACGTGCTCCGACTGCAACCAACGAGGCCACTTGGGTAAAAGAGGTCTCTGCGATGGTGTCCGCCCTGCCCACCATTGAGCCCCCAAATGCCAGAGCGGTTAGGAAGATAGTAGGATGAGTTGGAAGTGCATGATACATGGGCAAATCATTCATAAGCACAGGAGATATTAGCACGGTTCGACAGAGCACAGAGGATGGATTGTAACCAGCAGATAGATTTAAGAGATGAATGTACATCCGTACACCAAATGCTACTCCTAGTCTAGATATTGCCTCGATACCTTTATAAATAGCTTAATACCTTTGTAAGTAGCTTCGAAAGTATAGACTCAGTATAATACCTTATATATCGTAATGGTAACATTCCTTTTCGCACATATAGCAGCTTTGCTAAGCTTGTAGGCAATTCCGATATCTTACATTCCAGCTACTGCCATTGAGCTTTCGCTCTGATGTGCTATCTTGTCTAAATGCTATTCTAAATGCCCATATCTAGCCAATATCGCCACGCAGTAAAGAAGAGCATTAGAAACTGTTAACACGCTCCTTGACAACTGTTGGGCTAAATAAATATAAACAGGAGGCAACCCCAAGACTTGGCATATAAGACTCGAAACACTTACCCTTAGCACATTTAACACCCTCACCTACAGCTCAGCGCCTAAGAGAAGGACTCGGCACCCTTATCCTCGATACTTTTACCTTTAGCATTCTCACCTACGACTGGGCATCCAAAAAGAAGCCTCGGAAACAAAAAGATACGTATTTCGGAAAAGAGAAAATGAAAAAAATAAAAAATAAAAAATAAAAAAGATGGGAGTGGGAACTTAGTAAAATATATCTAATAAAAAGCGTTAAAAGGCTACGCATAGACGAACTTCCTATTTCAAAAGAGGGGGTTTATGACAATATCACTCATAAGTTCGGGTATTGGAAGACGAAGGATTCAACCTCCACAACATGTACTGGATTATAAATCACACGTATGTTGCAACGTATAACGTCACCGGTGCACAGAAATCCATTCCAAATCTGTGTCTTTTCCATGAGGGGAAGCTTCAACATGAAAGATGATAGGCCGATATGTAAACATGACATGATAGTTTTTGTATTACTTTGATATATCTACTACCTTGTATTTCCCCATCGTCTAATTTAAACTTTAAATTTCGTTATTAACAATTATCCTCCTCGCTATTTATATTTCATACAGCTCTTATTAAACACCGCGCTACGATTAATTGACATGGATCTTCCATTGAGAAAAGACTTGCGGCCAAAATCCGGTCAGCCTGAAGATGCGGCATGGATATGGGGAAGCGACGATGAAGTTCGTTGGCTCCTATTCTAAGCTAATGGATCATAAAATAGCTATCTGGCTGACGTCGTCTGAAGCTAGGTCGATTAAACTTGCAAACGCCGGAAAGGGTGAAGAAAGCACTGGGAACTATCTCTTCTGGAGAGGTTATCCCTCTTGGGTCAGTAAAGAGTCTGGTATATAATTTAGGCAATGATTAGTCTAAGGTATAGAGATACTTGTTTACTGATTAGTAGGTACATATAGTCTTCCATTCGACCAGGTCGCACCACCTTGTTATGGACGGCAGGTATTTAAACACTCTATCCATGCTTTGGGAAATGTCGGATTTGATGACTTTTATGATATGAACCCTCAAAGTACTTCTCAATGGGATGGGTTTCGTCATGTAAGTTTCAACCAAGTATCTGGCGGGTTTTATTAGTACGATGATTAATCCAGCACAGTTCTCCCATATCCCTTCAGGGTATTTCTATAATGGGGTAAGTATATCCATCACAACCGCTACGTATGTCACATAGTCTGAATTATGTCATCCAGACAACCGCCAAGGATATTCAAGGTGAAAATGCTTCGACAAAATGCGGCATGCAAGCGTGGGCGAAACATGGCATTGCGGGCAGAGGTCTACTTCTGGACTATGGCCGCTGGGCCGAAGCCAGAAATATCAAGCCGGTATATTACGATAACTTCAAAATTACTCACAGCGACCTTGTCAACGTAGCAGAGTCGCAAGGAATTGATCTGAGACCTGCCGCACAGGGAGGCGACATTCAGATTGGTGACATATTAGTTGTCAGATCTGGATTTCTGAAGAACGCAAATTCGCTTACATACGAGGAGAGGGCTCCTCGCCACCTTGGGAAGAATAAATTCGGGCCTCATGATGAACAACGCTATATAGGTGTAGATCAGAGTGAGGAGATTCTCGACTTATTGCATGACTCCTACTTCTCAGCTGTAGCTGGAGACCATCCCGCCTTTGAAGCGTGGCCGTCAGAGAAAGGTATTTTTATATTCTCGCCTGAAAAGGTCATGGGAAAAGAGAGGATTGCTGATGAAGTTTACCTTATGATAGATTACTATCTTCACGAGAAGCTATTGGCACTTTGGGGGGTTCCCATCGGTGAGCTTTGGGACCTTGAGAAACTTGCAGAGAAATGTGTTGAGAGGAAACAATGGACATTCTTCCTCTCAAGTGCTCCAAACCACGTGGAAGGTATGTAGTCTGGGCATGGATAAGAATGGAGTTGTTAACTAATACGGACTTATAGGAGGAATATCAAGCACTGCGAATGCTGTAGCTATCATATGAAACGGATGAGTCAACCTAGATATCTTATATTTAGTTTTACTTGGTCGAAGTAATGCTTGCAAAAATAAGACTAGCTCAAGGCGATAATATATTGTGAATTTAGGTAGGTTTAATGAGTAGTTAGTTGATCAGTTGTTAATAGTTTCATGCCCCTTTACATATCATATTGAATGTATGTAGTTGTGATGGATAAATGAATATGTACCTAAAATATTGTAGTGAGATTTATACCATATTATCTACATGTGACTTTTGTTATCAGGCTGACCAAGCTCAACGCTTGGACCAATTCAATTCAAGGTGCAAGGCAGCGCGAGCTTTCGTCGCCTCGCAGCCGCCTTAAGCTTCCCTCCATCATTATCGTCTTAAATATTCCAATTCCAACACGAACTATTTAACACATCAAACATAACTCTCCAGAAGTCCACCCTCACACATTACTCCGAAATTACTGCACTTTCCTCCGATTAGATTATACATTAGCAAGAAAGTTCATAAATCATGGCGGACGCAGCTCTGAAGCCCGAGAAGGACTTCAGTAAGGAAGCTGACGTACAAATCGGCGAAGCAGAGAAGCTTGCCAAGGTGCACATATCCGGGTTAAAAATACTGGAATACAGATTGCTAATTCATAGTTATAGAACGACGTTCAAGCAGCTATCGAGAAGCTTACCATTTTCGAGAAGCAAACCCGACAGGTGGGCTGTTCTCTCTAATCTATAATCGTTCAGCACCACTAATTACAATACTCTCTAGGCTTCCGATCTCGCCTCTACATCCCGAACTCTAATTGCGATATGTACGATCTGTAAAAATGCCGGAAACTGGAGTTTGCTCAACGACCAGGTTTTGGTACTCTCCAAGAAGCATGGCCAGCTTAAACAAGCTATCACCAAGATGGTTCAGACCGTTATGGATTTCCTCGACGCTACCCCGAATCTAGATGTTAAACTATCAGTAATTGAGACCCTGCGCACCGTGACCGAGGGCAAGATATTCGTCGAGGTTGAGCGCGCTCGCGTGACTAAAATCCTCTCGGACATCAAGAAGGAGCAGGGAGACCTTAAGTCCGCCATGGATATCCTTTGCGAATTGCAGGTGGAAACCTTTGGTTCGATGGAGAGACGGGAGAAGACGGAGTTTATACTTGCCCAAGTCGCATTATGTATCGAGAACGGCGACTGGACGCAAGCTAGCATTCTCAGCCGCAAGATCAGCACCAGATATCTATCTCGAAAGCCGAAAAAGACAGCCGAGCAAGTAGAGAAAGAGAAGGAGGCCCGTGAAGAGAAGCTGAAGCGTGGGGAGGAGGTTCCACCCGAGCAGGAGGACGACACTACCGACTTGAAGCTGGCCTATTATGGACAACAGATCACTCTTGCGAAGCACGACGATAAGTATCTTGATGCCTGCAAGCATTATAGACAAGTGTTGGATACCGAGGCTGTCGAAGAGGACCCCTCAAAGCTACAACCCGTACGTCGATTCTATGTGTATCAAGGTAGCCTTTGCTAATGCTAATTAGGTCTTACAACGTATCATCTACTTCGTCATACTCGCTCCCCATGACAACGAACAACATGATCTTCTCCAACGTATCTTCCGTGATACTCGAAACACCCAAATCCCTGTCGATGCTGCGCTTCTTAAGCTGTTCACAGTACACGAGCTCATGCGATGGCCAGAGGTTTCGAAGCAGTACGGTCCTCATCTCTGCGGGACCGATATCTTCGACGAAAGTCCAAACCAGTCGGGCGACGAGAAAGCCCACCAACGATGGCAAGATCTGCGCAAACGTGTTATCGAGCACAATGTTAGAGTTATCGCGAAATACTACACCCGCATCGGCATGAAGCGCCTGACCCAGCTACTTGACCTGACGGAGGATGAAACGGAGAAGTATATTAGCGAACTGGTGTGCTCCAAAACGGTATTTGCCCGCATTGATCGGCCGGCAAGTATAGTCAGCTTCGCCAAGCCTAGAGATGTCGATGACGTTCTTAACGAGTGGAGCCACAACATGAAGAGCCTGCTCGGTTTACTGGAACGTGTAGATCATCTCATTACCAAGGAAGAGATGATGGCGAGGATCCAGCCTGGAGTGAAGGAAGGCAAGGAGAAGAAGGGTAAGAAGAAGGCGTGATAGACGACTTATGACTCTGTTTTAAGGAGTAATTCTGCCGGGGCCGGAAGAGGAACTTGGTTTCGAGAGGAACTGCACAGCACAGCACAGCACAGCATAGGTTTGCATCAAAAGCATGCGAATGTATAATATTTAGATTAGGAGGTACGTAATGCCCGTGAAGAACAGGTTGGCCTTCTATGTCTTGATTCTACTATATGTGTAGTCGTACGTGCGATGCCCTCATATCTAGTCTCTAATCCCAGGTCTATCTCTCATGTATAGCCTCTAAATTTTAGACCTCAACGGCGTAATCATACCTACCTTATTCATAGTGATCGTTTACTCGCCGCCTCCGGGTTCTCATATCGCTGCCTTAACCAGCCTACCAAAGCCATAGCCCAGTCCTTGGCAACAGGCACGTAGTGACCCCCTGGATGCACAATAACCGTAGGATCCTTACACCGGTCTACAAGACCCTTGCTCCGGCTCTCCTCGACAACCGTATCCAAGCTACCTAGGAAATGTAGCGTCGGCGTCGTGATAGGCGGCTCATATAGCCATCGTAGCGAGTCTATCGGGGCGTAGAAACCAGAGTATACGACAGAGAAGCGTAGCGCTTGGTGATTGTTTGCGCTGCGCAGCTCGCTCACCCAGGACCAGTCTGCCTCTTCAGGTTGCGCGGCCGGGTCTGAAGGGGATGCTGCATGGGACGAAGACGGCGGGTCCCGATACGGTTGTTCCAATGCTGCAGCCACAATTGCAGCTACTGCTCCTCCCTGGCTAAACCCACATACGCCATCAATACCACCCGCTTCGGCAATCGTAACCGCAATACTCCGCATTCCCCCCTCAAACCCGCGATACGCACCCGTCGCCTCGTCTTTGCGGAACCAGCCCCAATTGTCAGATTCATCCTCGTCTTCTTCTTGCTCCGGGGGAGTGTACCCCGGGATATCGGAGGGACGCAGGCGGTGCGGGGCCGTGGGGAAAAGGAGCGTTGGGTGTAGGTTATAGGGTGCGGGGGAAAGGGCTTTGATGAGGAGTTTAGAGAGGGCTTTGGTTTTGGAGGAGAAAAGAGGTCCAGATTGGGTAAAGCCGTGAAGCATGAGTATTTTCAGTTCGGTTTTGCCTTTGGGGATTGAGGGCTTGGTTTGGGTTGGTATGCTCCCGGGTGCGGCCGGTGTTGACATGGTGAGAGATCGGGTTTGGTGACGGGAGAAGGTTGGTAATGTAAAGTGAATTATGCGCGGATGAGGTGGAGGTGGGATGAAAAGTTTCATGGAAGTGGTGGTTATAGAGTTATATAAATGAAGGAGACCCTTTGCTTATTCGTGGGTTTAGATGTGTAAAGTTGTCTTGAGGTGAATTCGGTGAATGGGCCAGTCGGCGAATTGAGCAAACATGTGAGATACGGGATACGGGATATTTTTAGTAGTATCGTGATAAGAGACGGTCTAAAATTGACCTAACACGGTTGGTATATACTATATTGGTATTTGTCATACATCCAATAGGTATCATATTAAGACGAATAGTTATCTAAACATTTATTGTTTAATTGGTTTGGTGTAGCAAACTTATCCATGGAATAGACAATGTTTGCTCCTTTTTCTTAATATCAGGAATTATATATTAAATATTAACTATGATAAAAGCTCTTTTTGAAAATCTAAGATCCCAAGCCTATTTCTCTTTGTTAAACAATATTACTGCACCGAAAGACTGGTCATCTCGAGGAGCTAGATAGAATGTGATGTTCGACAAGTAAACTTGCATAGGTATTACGGTAAACTTGTACCTCTAAGTTTGAAGTTGGCGATATATTTCATACTGGTGAATTTAGTTAAGCTATTAGGATAACAGCTATGCTAGAAAATGTGATAGGCACAGATCGTACAAATCCCAAGTCTAAGGTTGTCATTTGACCGCGGCACGAATGGATAGGTTACTAGATATAGCTCTCGATTCAACGCGAACCCATGATCTATGATACAGTCCCTACTCGTCTATAGGAAAGACTCGACCGTCTATAATGCTTCTCGCTCGGGATAGTTGGTCGCGTTCTCCAAATTTGTTATCTCCATTCTAATGTCCACCAGACTTCGCGTTCGGGTTGCGGGGGTCGTTCTTCCACTCGTCGGCTATTTAAGAATTGTCAATTATTTCTGCTCTTTTGTCCTGTCCTCTGGGGGCTATAATCAGCACATACACTTCATCATGGCATTTTGCGCCGAGTTGACACCGTAAGCGATGATCAGGCCTATTCGTCTGTTAGGTACTCATTCGCATATGCTAATTTTAGAATAATATAAATCATGATTTAGGTATCATACCAGCGGCGAAGAAGGGAGCATAAGGCCGGACTATCGATATGTTAGTAGCTGTCGCGAATTATGCAATCCGTATCTGGGCTGAGGAGTCAATTGACGTACGAACTGGCGCCGGGAACTTCTTGAGAGGGGTAACACCGAGCCAAGACATCTTGAATATGTATTCGGAGAATTTGAGTGGTAGATGGCGTCGAGATTGGAGATGATTAAGGTTGAGGTTGTAAAGCGAGTGGTTTTCTTCTGCCGCTAAGCCGAAACTTGTCGATTAATTGTTGCCTTATCGAGTTGTGTTATGTAATCTTAGTGCCTCAGGCATCGGGTACTTATATTTTGTACTCCTCATGATCTGGCTATACCTAATGGAGGTTAGCGAGAATAATCGTCGGTCACGGTCAATGATTTTACCGATATATTCAGTGACATCATTGCACAGTGTTACACAACTGTAGATCATCTCCATATTTGTTAAGCAGCAAGCATCAAAAAGCTGGGGAAGTCGCTCTGGAATTAACTTACAACCTTTAAAGCTTCCCCCCCAAATTCAAATGCGGGGGAGTAAAGTACCTAAACCAATTAATCGTAAACGCTACTTCCTACCTACCGCTTGCTACCCTCCATCATCGACCTTGCTTCTTCTCTCCGACCAGTTGTGCTTTGCCATTTCGATATTCAAACTGCTCCGCGGAACCTCCATAACTGCCTGTTACCTAGAGGACTAAATTCATCTGGACTTCCCCGCGAAAAACCACTATATCCGTACAGGGGTTTTCATACATAGATACACCCATTTCATTCCCACACTTACAAGCTTGATCATACCTATCACCAACCAATCCCGACATAATCATTCCTCAGCACCTTCACTCATTTTCTTATCAAGTTGCGTCAAATTTGACGCTGCTACCAAGTTTCCCAGACCCTTCATTCTCGAATCCTGCTCTAACCAAATTCCCCTCACCTTACCTCAACCCGTTCTTGTTTTGTTCTTTTTACACACCTTCATAGAAATATCTCAAAGTCAAGCAACCAACAACCACCATGTTTTCCCGACGTCTCGTGCGAGTAGCAACGGTAGGAGCTCCGCGTTCGCTTCGAGCGTTCAGCTCCACCGCTGCTAGCCAGCGTACGCCGACACTGGCCGACATTACACCCGAGGGTGTCGACTCGTTCAACTCGAAGCAGAAGGAGTTCCGTGAGCAGTTGGTCAAAGCACATCAGGAGCGCGAAGCAAGTAGGTTCACTAAAAATTCTTCTTCTACTAATGATTCTTCGTCTGCTGCCCGAGAAACCCAGGGCTTGGGCTCATTAAGCACCCATACAGGAAAGCGAGCGGAGGTGTCAACTAAGGAACCCGAGCGACCTGATAATCTTCTATCCAGGGTTATCTACGGAACAAAAGAGGGACGCGAATTGGATGCTCAACTCGAAGCCAGCTTCTCCGCGGTTTTGGCTCGTGGCAAGTACGTTCACTCGATCGTGTTCCACGAGGTGCAGCCGGACAAGGTGGATGAGTATGTTCAGCTGGTCGGCCAATGGTATCCGCGCATGGCTTCCTTGGAGGATAATAAGGTTCATCTCGTTGGAAGCTGGCGAACCGAGGTGGGAGATTGTGATACATTCGGTAAGTTACGGCTCGGGCCTCAATTTAAAATTAGGTATAATATGACAATATGCTAATGACATAAATGTTAAGTCCACATCTGGGAATACCAGCGTTACCAAGGATACCACCAGTCTCTAAACTCCATCTCCCGCCACCCCGACTTCGCCGAATTCGACAAAAAGCTCAAGACGCTTATCAAGTCTAAGAATACGTCGATTATGCAGGAATTCTCGTTCTGGCCGACCACTGCACCACGCCAATTGGGCGGTTTATTCGAGTTACGTTCGTACACTCTTCACCCTGGAAACTTGCTAGAGTGGGAAACCCACTGGCGACGAGGCTTAAAGGCGCGAAGACAAGTTATGGAAGGTGTGGGTGCTTGGTTCGTACAGATCGGTGATCTAAACACAGTCCACCATCTTTGGCAGTTTGCAAACCTCGAGGAACGTAAAGTTCGACGAGAGGAGAGCTGGAAGCAAGAAGGCTGGGCCGAGACGGTCCACAAGACTGTTCCTCTAATCCAGTCTATGAAGTCGAGGATTCTTGTCCCGCTGCCATGGTCACCCGTGGCGTAATTCCTGCAGATAAGGGACGACTGCGTTAATATCAGCCGATTTTTAACCCGAATTAAGCATCTGATATGGAGAATTGGAGTTTGGAGGCCATTGTTTCTTTATGTAGTCGATCCGCCATGTTGGCGCGAGGGCACCTACGAAAGTGATTGTACTTTTACTGCCGAGATCGGGATACTCATGATGAGAGCTGGGAGAAGCTGAAAATTACGCCCCGAAGACTATGGCCATATTTCACTGATACCAATACGAAGTAATTCGAGTTTTCTTATTAGAGGCAAAATCATAGCTGAAGTCGAACTCGAGAAAAAGGTTCTAAATGTTTATCGTGATTTGATTGTCTTGTAGCTTTAAACTTATTACCTTATTAATCAATGCCGCTGCCGCTGTTCTTCATTTTTATTTCGGGAGACTCCAGCCTCTATTCCCATAATGCATATCGCTCTGTCGTACTAGTCTATTAGCAGGAGACGATTCTGCGATGCTGTAATTCCTTGTGTCGCTTTATTCTTCCAAATCTTGTTCCATAACGGCAGCCAAATTCCGCCGCGCCAACCCTAACGTATTACCTAAAGCGCTCAACTTCGCGGATAGCGAAAGGAGGCTAGGGTCCGCGCTCTCAACACGCACCTTCTCGCGTACATATACCTCGACTTCTTTCTTATTCCCTTCGTTATCCTCACCACTGTTATTACTACTATTACGAATACCATGATGCTCGGGGGCAGACGTGCTATCATCAATTCGCGACTCGTCGTCACATCGATATGAGAACACGCGGTCGGCTTCATCGTGCTCGATACGCCGTGTCGTACCAATAGCGAGTGCGAGTTTCGTTCCGAAATTTACGGGTGCGTCAGCGGGTTCTAGGGCGCGCAAATAGATGACTAGACAGGCATCTTGAATCGTTACGTAGAGAGATAGGTTACGACTAAGCGGGGGCGTGAAATGGCCTAGTGACACCGAATTTGTCGTCCAAGCGGTATCTAGAGGAACTTTCTGCCCCGGCGGGTGCTGGCGTCCGGGCCCTTCATAGCTCGCCGTAGAAGCACTAGTAGATGGGCGCGCAGGCGGTTGAGACGGCCCTTTGACTAGCGCTGCTGCTTCCGCAATATGTAGTGCTAACAGCCGTAATTGGGAGGCGAGGTACGGCGCGGAGGGCGGGGGTGTAGTTTGATTCTGGTGTTCTTCTAGGGCGAGGCATAATTCAAGCGAGAGCGAGAGAAGAGCGTCGAGACGGATTAGAGCGGGGACACGGACGGGACGTGAGGGGTCGAGGGATAGAGTCTGTGGTGGGAGAGTTCGTAGCCTAAGATGGACCAAGCCGCGCACCAGGCGCGCACCTACACGTGTCGTGTGCCCCTTGACGGTCTCGTTGCGTGGCGTTGTTAGCGCGAGCGTGCTACCAGCTGAGTCGGCGGGAGCTAGCAGCGCGCAGCAGTCTTCGAGACCACGCTTGATTTTCTCGAGGGTCGTACGCAGGGAGGTTAGGAGCCAAGTTAGCTCGCGAGCCTGTTTAGGTTGCCGCTGTGGTGAGTATATAGTTGTAAGAGAGTGGTATGGGGGGACGAGAACGAAGTCATCTTCGGTGAGGAGCATAGTATTTTATATAGGAAATTTGGGATTTGGGGTCTAATAAGAGGGATATGATTGGAAGCAAGGTAATGAATCTGGGGGGGTGATGGAATCGTACCTGAGTGGCATCTTCCTGAATTTTAAGCTCTGCCGGCGAGATGGGAGGCCAGATCTCAACGGACATTGTGGACGCGGGACGGCATAGGCAACCGCATTTCAACGGGCCATCTGATGGTATACTGAGGTGTACGCTTTAGAGCTATGATGATGGAGCTGAGCGAATGTAGTATGTGGTAGTATGTAGTGTTTAAGTTGTAGCCTTGTTAGTGCGTGTAAGTGCAGTGGTGTAAGTGGGGAGCTTTTGACTGATGATGCTTGACTTGCATAATGTTGGATTGGACGATGGGTGGGTGAGCTAAATATAACGATGTGGGTCTACATGCACATATCTTATCATGTTCCTGGTTGCAGGCTCTAACGTCATTTTTATACTTTGTAGCTTATGGATAATTGAATATCAGATACTATCAATTATATCTTCAAATCGATTGCTTCTTGATTGTCAACGCGACGGTATTTTCGAATGTGACTAGGTTACCAGCTCTATGTTCTTTTATAGGGATAAAGTGAGGAAGAAATAATACTAAAAAAATAATAAATAAATAAAAGGAACTTGATACTTCCCGAATCATTATAAAAATGGCCTCCGAACAGCCATCTGAGATCGTTTCGCAGGTGCCTGAACAACCCACAAAGCTAGCAAAGCTACCACCTGTACCAAAAGGTTAGATCGAAAGCCTCAGTTACATCAATACTCTCTTCACTATACTAATTGCTAATACTAACTCAGGGGCTACCGTCCGAAGACGTCCCATTCCCACGCGCATACCTTCTACACGCGCCTCGCGACGCATCTACATAACTCCTAAAACGCCCTTCCGCTCCGTAACAGCGCGCGTGCGCAAACAACTCGACAAGAATATACGCGAAGCATCAGCATCCAACAAAGCCTTTACCAACAAACTCGCCAGTAATAAGAACGCATCCCTAGACGAGCGCATCCGTGCCATCCAGCGACAATCTGCCTCGAAAAATAGCGGCAGCGGAATCGGGCTCGAAGATGCGGGCGAAGTCGTGGTGCTGGGTACGGGGCGCGCTATCCAGAAGGTCGTCAAGGTCGCGATGTTCTTCCAGAAACAGCAGGATTGTATCGTGCAGTTAAAGACTGGGAGCGTGGGCACTGTGGATGATGTTGTGTTGGAGGGGGAGGAAGAGTGGGGGGGTGAGGGAGAGGAGAGGACTAGGATGATGAGTTCTCTTGAGGCGTTTATCAAGTTGAGGTGATGACAGGATTTCTCGCGAGGAAGGATGATGCTATTTACCAGAATTGGGCCATTCAGGAGTATGGCCCACCCGACCAGCACTTTTCCTACGGTATCGTTACACCCTTGGCGTTATGGGCGCGCCGGCAACAACTATTCATCGATGCCAGTTCTGATTATTATAAATGGACGATACAGTCAGGAGAGCTGGAGATATCCATTATCCATCAGCGCAAGCGTCGTGGCGAAGTCTTAAAGCCGGAAAGGCTCGTTAAAGTCCAAAGCTATTCATTGCGCCTAGGAATAGGAACTTGGGATACTGTAGTATTTACCTGAAAGGTATCTAGCATCCACAACTCGGCTGGTGGTGCTTTGGCGGACTTACTACTACGTTATGGATTACAAGGAAAAGGGGGTAGCAGGTGAGACCCAAAAGCATCGAGGGAATGATATGTTAAACAGTTAAACAGTCTCAGCTTACATGCCGGATGTAATGCATACTCGGCTCCTATTTTAGTTATACGGGCTAGATGTCTATTAACTGCCTCTTTAAAATTGATGCAAATATTCTAAGGGTGCATGTGGATGAAAGCTGACGGAGTTTCATCAATTTTGGGTATATTTTCAATTTAAAATAAATAAATTCTGACGCTTCTATCATTTACTAAGAAAATTTATTGCGTATAATTCCTGTCCGTACTTTCGGCGATCAAGATCTCGGTCCTATAATCGGAGACGGACCGGCCGCTGAGGGGCACCACGGCGGTAATGTCGCCATCGTATTTAAGACAAAACTAAAGACGCTAACTCGAAACAAATTTATACTAAACCTTCCCTTTATATACGAGGTAGTTTCATATTTACCTAGGTATACTGCTAAAAATCACGATGACATCTTCCCAGCCTTCTCCTTCTTACATTATCGTCGGGGCCGGTGTCTTCGGCACCTCGACCGCACTACACCTAGCCACCAAATTCCCAGATTCATCTATAACACTTATTGACCGCGACGCGCACACAGCACAGAGCCGCGTGGCCGCATCTTGGGATTGGAATAAGGTTGTGCGTGCCGACTACCGGAACTTGGTATACTGCCGGCTCGCGCTCGAAGCGCAGGACGTCTGGCGCGCAGACCCCCTGTGGCGCCCGTTCTACCGCGAGACGGGCATCTACTGGATTAGTCGCACAGGGTTCGCACGTCAGGTTTTAGATAACTATGCTCGGCTAGGACGGGCTACGGATGGCATGCGTATCGTGCCAGTGGAAGAGGCGAAGAGGTTGTATGGGGGAATTTTTGACGGGGCGGATTATACGGGGGTTGAGAATGTGCTGGTCAATGAGACGAGTGGGTGGGCAGATGCTAAGGGAGCGCTGCAGGCTGTAACGGAGAAAGCGGTTGAAAAGGGTGTCAGATTCGTCGCGGCTGAGATTGAGGAGTTATCGTTTGGGGAGGATGGAGAGTGTGTTGGGGTTTTGACTAAGGACGGAGAGATATATACCGCTACGCATACGATATTGTCGACTGGTGCTTTTACACCAAAGTTGCTGGATAGAATGTCTCAGAAGACCGGGCGAGATGAGTTCCTTGCTGGGGACAGAATGATCGCGGCGGGAGTAACGACTGGGCTGGCGCAGCTTGATGATAGCACTGCGGAGGAGTTCTCAGGGATGCCAGTTGGTATTCAAGAGAATGATCCCGAGAGAGGTAAGCTGTCAGCTATTTTTTTTTCTTCTATTGTCGTTTTCTACTTCATCGCCCTAACCACCAATATAGGTGCAAGTAATGGCGCTTTACCGCCGACCAAAGACAAGAAACTGAAGTGGTGGGGCCAGTGCATATTCAAGAATACACAGACGATGCCCTCTGGTCGTCAAATCTCCGCACCACCAGCTTTCACGGACTACTCGCAATGGACGATCCCGGATACTCTAGTGCAAGACCTCGAATTTGCCAACAAAGCCACATTCGGGAAACGCGGAGAGGCGTGGAAGGTTTCGGAACATCGCATATGCTGGTATACGATTTCTATATCTTATTCTTTCTTCCCCTGATTATATACTTACCTATCTAGGTACATATGAATTACGCTTATACTATGTAAACTAACTCCTGGACGCTAGGGATGCGGTTACACCCAGTGAAGATTTTATCATATCGCCTCATCCAGCTTCTAAGGGACTATATGTCGCGACCTGTGGCTCGTTTCATGGGTGGAAGTTCTTCCCCGTCATCGGCGAGTATGTTACGAGGATGTTAGACGGGTCTCTAGAATCAGAACTGCAACGGCGATGGGCGTGGAACCGTGAGCGTCCGGACCCAACAGGGAATAAAGTCTGGCCTGTGAAAGAGTTAAGAGACTTATAATAGGTATTAGCTTGGCAGTTTGCAGTTTGGTCGTGGTTTATAGGATTCAAGTAGTTAGGATCAAGATCACTCCAACCGCGATTTATACGATATATGATATATCAGTTGGTTAAGTAGCGCACAGTGCGCCTCATGTGATTCATGTCCTCATAGATCATCTCGATCCAGTCACCACCATCTTAGGAATCACATCCAACGACTCAATATTACCATAATAAATCACATCAAAAACGTCAGCATTACGTAGTACCTACCAGGTGGAAATATATCTAGCTCGGATCTCTCAGCATGATAAAGGTACACTTTACGTGGAGCGGAAGCAGGCGCCGATTCACGCAGAGCCATACGTCGCCGCCTCCCATGTATGGGGCGACCCGATGACTACCCAAAAAGTCAATATCGAAGGAGTAGGATCTGTTGAGGTCAGCTCACGCAAACGGGATCTTCTATCTATTCCAAACCGTCCTGATGTGTGCGGTATCGGTTGGTTTTGGCTAGATCTCTTTTGTATTGACCAGAGTGACGGGTCGCCTATCAACATTTCAGATCAACTTATGGCCATTCCGGCCATTTATAAACATAGCGTTATCACAGTCGTACTTATCGAATCGCCGATATATCGCGAATGGACTAACAATGTTACTGACTCTATACACGAATACGTCAATGATGCCGCTGTCTTCGACGAGAAGGAGGCATATCACGCAAAAGAGTGTCTTGATCTCGTGCTGATGGACCCGACAAAAGGGGTTTTATGCCACAAAGCTTAGAATGATTGTCCTCGAAGAGTATTGTTTAAATATCTAACTAACTTTTAATTTAAAGCAAAAGTAACATGGTTTTTAATCTTAAACTGTAAGCAATGTTGCAAATCATATCATCTATCAATATGCCATGTGTTAGGCACCTTATCCCCACCGTGAAGCTCATTCGTAGTCGCCAGCTCGTATTGGCTCATGTCACCTGGCAGTTCACCTGCTGTTTGTATCTCAGAACTTGACTTCTCTTGCTTCTTTTTCTTAGTCCGCCTCAGGTATATGAATATGAGGGCCATCAAACTGATCATGAAAAGCGCCCCTAAACCTGCAGTCGCCCCTATTGCGGCAGTGGAAAAACCTGGACTTGACAACGAGTCACCCAGTTGATTCGCTGTAGTAGGAGAACTTGTAAGGCTATTGGTATTGTCGGAGGATGTAGTGGGAAATGAAGCACCGGTGAACGTAGTCAAAGTCTGAGATATCGATGTGGTTATTGAAGTTGTGAGAAGACTTTCCCCATCACCCGCATTCGGGCCTAAGCGGTTTGACCCATCCCCATTCAAGACGGCCTTTATATATCCAGGTACCTTGAACATCGCAAGTTAGCAGGGTCATCTCTTAGACTATGAATTGAAAGATAAGCAGTCCAATACAGGGTCACTGATATCAGCATGCTTAAATGTTTTGTTACTCACAAAATCAAACCACGAACTCTCACTTCCACAACATGATGTATCATTAGTTAAGCAGCAGGCCTTCCCACCCTTCATATCGCAAGTTAAAATCCATACTCCATCCTTAAGCATTCCTGTCTGCGTTAGTTTAGACCGTATAGTCCTGTCGTGAAACTATCTTACCGTCTCCTAGGCACATTTGAGGGCAAGCCGAGTCTCTAAATGTTGGATCTGTGCAGCTTTGCCTATACACTTTAACAACGATCAATAACTATAGTTAAATAGAACTCAAGAAGTATAGTTAGAACATATAAATGGAGGATTAAGGACACTGGATAATTATGTTCTGTTGGAATATAAATACGTACTAACTCCCGACCAATCCTGGAAACAAGCACCACTTTCATAGCAGGCATCATGAGGGCGACAACAAGGACTCGCAGCACCGAGACCTTGTGCGGTATTGTTGCAAGGTACGCTCAGCGTATCAATTGATCTATCGGGGAAATAACATGTCGCAAGATATGTTTGACTCATCTTAAACGTAGTGACGGCAGAAGTAATAATTATAATTATTGACAACTAAGGAAATCGAGGTGGAAAAAATAAAACAATGTAACGACAACGATGAGTAAAACACTATTTAGGAGAGGAAAATGCACAGGCAACGAGCATTTTATGTAGTCGGTATTAGGTTTATATTAAGAAATCCAATGCCACGACGCGTTACTTAGAGAATGGCTTATGGATGAAACCGCCACATTTTCCCTTTAACATTAATAGATAGGGGGTTATTACACAGGAAATATATATGAACATGTTATCCCATGGTGTGCCTCACTGGAGAGTAGTTGTAGTTGTATAACTTGATGAGAAGTGGACGGCTAAACATGTCTGAGAAGCGATTAAGATATACAAAAGGATATTTAATATTGCAATTATCGTGCGCTTTCTTGGAATCAAAAAGGCCTCGGAGTCGACACTTCATCATCATTTACGAGAGATTTCGTATTTACTCCTGTATTTCAGCCCCCCCAAGTTTCAGCCACCTACCAAATAAGTCAAGTCCTATCTCGTAGTCTGTATTTAAAGACTAAATACGAAATCGAGTTAAGGAATATAGGTATGGTTTACTAGCTACTTGATAGGAAATCATCATTAGCATATATGAAGAGGAGAAGCAAAGTCTGGATGATATAACTCTTTACCATGTATTCCAAAATACCTTATCTTTGTTTAAGTTAAAAAAAGCAAAAAAAAAAAAACACTCCGAGGCCAAGACATAAGTTCATCGGGAACTAAATTACTAACCGAGTAGGCGTAGGGCTTCAATAAATGGGGCGCGGACTTCATCTCCGGAATTCGGAAAGCAAATGAAATCCCATTAGTCCAGAAGCAATGATATAATTGGTCGATCACTACCCCGGCTCTTTCGGACTGCCCAAATTTTCCGAGATACACATAAAACCAAGACCTTAGAACTACATTACGGAGGTTAATTTGCTCCTCGAGAATGGCTTCGGAATCTACCTCACCAACACCCTCCGGCGTAGAGGTCCATACGCAGGAGAGATGTGTTAATAAGCAAAGGGCGTGCGTGAATTGCGCCCGCTCAAAGACGAAATGCCATTGGTTAACAGGGACTATCTGTGAAAGGTACATATTCTTGAAAGCTGATAATACCTACTGATCGTCTGTAATTGACATGAGTCCAGATGCTCTAAATCTAAGCTGCACTGCTCTGTTCAAGAATTGGGTCCTAGAAAACGGCGAGGAAAATCAAAGTAAGCGTCCGACCACCCTTGGATGTTTCGTACTGACGCTTCTTTCTCCCTTCTTTTAGACGGGTTGGAGAACTTGAGAGAAAAGTAGACAGCATCATGACTATGTTAACAGCGGGTCAACAAGTCTCTAATATAGGTAATTTACCAGCTGCTCAAATCCAACAACAAGCCCCTCAGATTTCATATGGGGAGGTTGACAATCCATATACAATTTCACCAAACGTTGGTATACCTTCTATAATATCTTCAATTTCTAAGACCCCCGAGGAGTATATCGACTTTCCGGCTGGGTTCCGTGTGTCTCTTATTGAGGCCGATCAAGTTCTATTCGAATATAGAACCACCATGCAGCCCAATTTTCCGTTCATTCATCTACCCCCCTGGTCAGCCCGTGAGATGCTCCAGGATCGGCCCTTGCTACTAAAAGCCATCATATACGTCTGTCGTCCCCAGCCTTGGCCAATTAAGTGTGAGATAGAAAAGTGGTTTCGGGAATATTTCGCTCTTCATGTAGTAGTGCAGGAGGAAAGAAGCTTGGAGTTATTACAAGCTATACTCATTTATATTGCTTGGTAAGTCGGCATCGTACTAGTGCAATGTTCTCACGCTGTGATCGTTATCGTACTTTCTTGTTGACGAAAGTTTAGGCAAATTTGGCATTTCTTCGTACATGCTCATGATTCAAGTCTCATGCAATTAGCCATTGGAATGGTCGGGGACATGGGACTTAATAGATCTCCAGACTCTCAAACCATGTCTTCACGATGCATCATAGAAGAAGCTACTATACTAGTTAGAGGGATGAATATCCGAAGGGAGCATACTCATGCCGAACGAAGAGCTTTACTCGGTGTATTCTATATTTCATCAGTGTAAGTATCAGCGATGATTATCACTGATGTCAAGATCTAAACGTACCGCTTTAGTATACGAAGTATTTTTCGACGTACGGAACCGATGGAGTTTACGGATTACATGGATCAATGCTGCAACGAGTTAACCCAAGCTATTAACTCTTCTACAGATCAGCTTGCCGTTACACTTGTGCGTATGCAGCATCTGGTAATTCGGGCTACAAATGTGTTCTCGGAGAATGGTACCGGTGGGGATGCGGTATTAGGAGTATCACATGTCATGGCAATGTCCAGTATTCGACGGCAGCTTGATGATATAGTCAGTCAGCTTCCTGAAGATCAGAAGTCCAACTGTAAGTTGTATTAACCCCTCATGGATTCGTATGCTTCAGTTAACAATCTAATAGTCCTCGTATGGCATCATTATCACATGGTCCTCATCCGGCTATACGAGCCAATAATCGATATGAAGTCTTTGGATCCTACGAACAAGACATTTATGCGGAGCCAGGCTCTATGGACTTGTTGTCAAAGCGCAAAGTCGCTTCTCGAGCTGTATCTTACCATCCCAGGAGACATGTTTGCGGCACTCAGCTTCGTCATGGTTGCGCATCTTTCTTACTCCAACATTGTATTAACTCACCTCCTTTTTCTAGAAGACCGGGATTGGGATGCGCATATCGCCCGGGAGAGCATCAACTACCCCGACCTCGCAGAGAGGCTCAGCGACTATTTTGTAGCGTGCGAGCAGTTGCTCGGTCGCAGGTGCAAGGTTATGGAAGACGGCAAAGGCCTTTTCACTAGGTCCGCGGAAAGAATGAGATGGGCGAAGAGTTGGTATCTTTCTAAGTTGCCTATTGATTCTTCGATATTAGGCACAGCCGCAACTGCACCTGTGGTAGCCAATGAAATGGAATATGAAACATGGCAAATACTTTTTGCATAACATAAGGTACTCAATAGTTTCATAGGGGGTCTATAACTAACCTAAATATATCCACTCTTGTTAGAATGGCGAAACCCGAGCAAGTATATCCCTATTCAGTAGGGAATTGAAGTATAATGGTACTTACCAAGAAGGTACCTAGCCATCCGTTTATATTTCCACGATTTGAAACCTACGATATATTCCCCTGCTCCGTCCCAACGGGCTATATGTGTAATTGCACAATAAAGAGCATACGTTAAACATATATGTTATTAGCTCATCTGGGAGGAACACCAAGGAAGATACACCGATCCAATTGTGTTACCTTGCAGACATTCAGGTGCGGCCTTTTTAAATACTCGGTAAAGGCGAAAAAGGGGGGATTCACGTCGCACGGAGGAAGAGTTTTACATCGAGCGCCGTTAATATAGATTAAAAGCTCCCCCATTCCGGGGTTGATAAATTAGTTTTACTCCCTGCTTGTAATTATCTTTGATGAAGACACTGACCTCAGTCCCCTAACCAACTCATATTACGAGATATACTAAAAAGCACGGAGCCAACATCGTTATTTTAAGAAGAACCGTGATTCCAATAATAGGAGGTCAATTATACATATTGAAAGTATCCTTTTTCTAGATTCCTAATCGAAAATCTCAACAATTCTTTAACTACTTTCGCTCGTAGAAACAAATACAACTAATACCGCCGCACAAGCTGCCGTAGCCAGGATAATATCCGTCCTCCGTCCATCTGTTAACACCGCTAAACTAGTAGCGAAGAGACTCGTAAAGAGGGTAATCATGCCCAGCCTAATATGCTCATCTTTGATAACATAAAGGGCGACGATGGCACCGTTAATGACTAGAGAAGCTAGGAATACTGTGCTAATCGTAACCAGACGCGAAACGTTCTTCGCAGAGTAATATTTGATCTCAGGTGCTGTCTCGTGTCGAGTGCCCTAGATAAAGATATAAGCTAAGTAGTAGGTCTAGGGGGCATTAAGGGGATCTAACTTACGGGTAATATTTTCCCACAAAGATCTTGCAATGTGCTTGATAGAAAATCCTGATCAGTGGATACCTGAAGGGCTGCGAAGTCGCTTTGATTTGTTAATAAATCGCTCCCGTACCCGACAAATGGCCTCTCGTTATCGAACCAGCCGCGGAAAGCCCCGAATGCTCGACGACCTGGGGTAGAAAATTTTAATATTTGACTTTGCAATAAAAGCGCTTCGTCTACACAGCATTAGTCTGTGCTATCTTAAAAGCATAGAGCCTCATTTTAATCTCACGATATACTTTTAACTTGGTCTGCATATCCTTGATGGTCTTCATTCGTTCTGCCTCGTGAGGCTTATTCACTGCTGCCCGTGCCGCGAAAGTCTCCCAGCATTTTGCTGACAGCAGAACGTCAAAATTAGAATCCTTGTTGTCACATTCGTCAAATTCTCGGAACTTTTTCTCCAGCTCTAAGAGCTCCGATTGCTGATATAGTAAGCTGCGCGAGTTGAGCGCTAGGAACGTTCTATATATTGATAATTCAGGGTCTGTGGCAATGAAGTCGGAAAACGTAGCGTATCCAGAAACCCCTGGATTTGACATCGGCAAGTCCAAAATCCGTATGTTTTATAGATTACCCGTTAAGATAATGAATTAACTTAACCTGCTGAAGCTATCCTTTATTGAATACTTAAGGTCACCCGTATGCTTGTCTCGACGTGGAATAGTTGGTAGGGCAGAATTGTTTCGAGTAGTACTCTTGACATTTCATTAAGCCTTAGCCCGAGTATCTAAGGGCATATGACACGAACCAATCAATAGCCGCACATCAAATTATTGGCATACCACGCCGCCTAAGTAACCGACTCAATAAGAACGGTGGCTGTGCCCCGGGGGGCGATGCATCGGGCATGAATCAGACAGACAGCGGATGTAAGACCCTAAAACTATTACTATCACATGAAAATCCGACATAAACATAGTCTGGGGGCAACTTAATCATCTATCAGGATTTCGGCAAATATGGACCATGGGCATTATCCGTTAACTTTATATGATGTGCTAGGTGTCCCACGCAACGCACACCAGACTAGAATCGAGTCAGCCTATCGCGTTATCAGACTTCGCGCTTCCAATCTACCATTAAGTAAAAAACATGTAGAGGAATTTCAACATGCCTACGCGATTCTTAGTTGCTCTGAGGGGAGGGCGATATACGACAAATGGCTAGACTGGGTTAATACAAAATCAGGACAGGGGAGGGACGCGGACAACGAGCGAAAGAGTCAACGGGGGACGAAGCAGGCGATAGGAAGAAGCATATATCCTGGTATCCTTGTTACTCAGGGCAGAATTGATGGCACGCAGGCATATGCTATCCCAGATACTGGTACTGGGTATAACATTATGGGTGCATCTCTGGCCTCGAAACTTAAACTCAGAATCAAGTATCATAAGGAAGGAGAGCAACTTTACCTTCGAACGGCAAATGGGAGGTACATTATCACTCTTGGTATTGTTGAAGCCAACTGGCAATTCTCAGCAGATTTATCACAAACATTCGTAGTAACCTTCTATGTCCTAGCAAACTGTGTATACGATATAGTCCTTGGTTATGAATTTTTAGCGAAGACCCGGACTATGTCTCATCACAAAAATCGGTTATCCCGTATCCCGAGGCCAACTGGTGCACTCTCCGTCCTGCAGGTAAATGTCCTCGGGCCAACGAGTCGACGAGTGTGCGGGATTGTTCATACTTCCACCGTCTTAGCATTACCCGACTCCGGGTCAGAAGGGAGTCTACTATCTTGGAAATTTATCGAGGAAAGCGGGTTGGAGAGCCTAGTTTACCGGAACGACAAACGACTGCTACTGTTTGCAGATGGGAGTTATGGAAATACGGAAGGTTCTATTCGAACAAAATGGAGATATGCCTCCAGCTTGCCGTCAGAAGCGTCTAACATAGATGTTGAGTTTCATGTCTTCCGGGACTGCATATACGACGTCATCATCGGACAAGATGTGCTAGAGGAGACAGACGCATTCTTGAAGCATAAGCTGGACTTCATAAACGTCGAACTTGATCCCGGCTCCTCCGAGATGAATCTTGTCATCTTTGTACCCAAGGCTCAAAACTCATCGTCTCCCGAAACAAACGTCCCGATTCATAAAAACGACGTTATTCACGAAGAGCTACAGCGTCGTGCGAAAGCTGATAAAGAGATCAAACATATGCCAAATAGCATTGCACGAGCTATAGCAGAGGAAGAGGAAGAAGTAGCTCGCCGCAATTTTGACGGACGCTGCTCTCACCTTCGCAACAATCCGGATACTGAGCATAATACTATCCTGTCTTTACCTATTGCTCGCGTAGACTCACATAATGGTGAGGGTAATGGAAAATCTTGGATATCTAAAAAGACCAATGCATCAAGACTTTTTATTAGGAGAAAAGCCGCGCAGGAAAATTTGAAAGCAGTATCTAGGTAATTATCCCAATACTTGATGAGGCTAGATTAGTCTATAGTACTGAATCTTCTGCCTCCCACCTTACAACAACCGATAAGTTATTGGGGACATGAAAATGACAGAACAGCAAGGAGCTACCCACTCCTGTAGCCGGAACCAGGACTAGACTTATCCTTCTTTGTTTTCTGAAACCTTTTCTATTTGGAGTTTAGTATAATGAATAGTTGTCTTACGGGACGATAATACTAGAAGTTATTGCCTGGACACTCGGAACTTAACTAGGCACTACAGTTTTACTATTTACCCATTCTTTATAGCCGGATATAGCTTAGTAGCCCCTTCTTTCTCACAGATTGACATCTTTAGAAATTTAACTCCAATAATAATAGAGTTGAATTGCTTTACGAAGTTTGCGAGGTCTTATATGACTTAATAAATAAATAGAAAGGCTGTTCTTTAGAACATTATGCTCCTGAAAAGATGCTTGCACCATTATCCACAAGTGGGCTTCCCCTTGATAACCGTATTACATGTTTGTCTTAAATAACATCATATATACTAACCCGCCACGGCTCTTTCGTCGAAACATCAAACATGTTAAATATATATATAGTTGAGGATTTCTGCTAATAGAATATTATGTTATTTTCATTACCAATCAAGTAGGTGAATGCACCTATTAACTATGCGTTAAGAAACTTCTCCTGCGCACCGCCATAGCGCTCCCCGCTAATAGGCAATGTATCAAGGATTCTCTGAATTTCAGCCAACTCCTCATTTGTCAACTCGGCAGCTTTCGTATTTTCAATAACTCGCTCGACCCTAGCAGAACCGGGAATAGGAATGGCGCCCTGGTGAATCACCCACCCGATAGCCACCTGCGCCGTCGTGACACCCTTACGCTTGGCAATCTGCTCCACCGCCTCGACGAGCTTGAAGTTCTGATCGAAGACTTCGGGTTGGAAGCGCGGGAGCATGCGGCGGAAGTCGTTCTGCGGGAGGTCGTCTAAGCTACGCAACTCGCCGGTTAACCACCCGCGGCTGATGGGGCTGTACGCTACGATGGGGATGCCGACTATATATAGACCGCATTATTAGAAACCGAATTATAGTTTTATACCATACTTAGATTACTTACGTTCGTGGCAAGTATCCGCAACGCCATTATGAAGGGGATCGGGAGTGAATAAGCTCAACTCTATCTCGACAGCCGAGATGGGATGCACCGCGTGAGCTTTGCGGATTGTGTTTGCGCCGACTTCGCTCAGTCCGATACCGCCAATCTTGCCCTCCTTTACAAGCTCACTCAATGCTTTGATAGAGGTCTCAACGGGGACCTTGGGGTCAACCCGCGCGCATTCAAAGACGTCAATGGTTTTGGTACCACCTAGAACTTCGAGGGCCTGCTCGACAGAAGCACGGATACCTTCCGGGCTACCGTCTGGCCCGGTCTTCATAGCAAATGCACCTTTGATGCTAAGGACGACCTTGCTGGCATCTTCGGGATACTTCTCGAAGTAGTACTTGATTAGATGCAGAGAATTTGCTTCGGGAGTTCCGTAGTGCACGCCCTACGTTTGAATTAGTTTTACTCTCAGGGGTTTATGAAGCGAGTTTCACTTACACCATTCCAAAGATTTGCACCTTGCTCTAATGCCGTCTTCAAGACTTTCACAGCAATGGGATACTCGACGGGGGCCCACGGCTTCGTTAACCCTAATATACGGCGTCAACTTGGTATTTCTACGTAGAGGTATGCTAATGCACTTGTCGCACGCAAAGAGAGTACTTACCCAACATGCCAAATCCAACAGGGCCTACGACCTTGCCGCCGACACGAGTGGACACTGCTTTTCCCGAACCCATGATGTAAACTGTCAAGTTATGCCGAGTTATGGTGGTTGATGGAAAACCGATAAAGGGGCTCTCTTATAAATTGTGCTACTGGAAAGGAAGGGCGCAGCTATTATAACTGATATTGGTCTATACATCTCTTACGTATACTGCGTGGCCACTGACTTTATATATACCTCTATCGTGAAATAGATCATTCTTAGTTACGGCATACTGGACTTTTGTTCTTAAATCCGTATATCTCTTATTCGGGCCGGATGTTCTATTGAGTCCCGGTCCTGACTAGGGACCTCACTGAATTAGGTAAAGTCTTGTTCCGGCATGACGCTACCGGATACGTTGATCAAGGGTTTGACGCGCGGGACTCAAATTAACTCCCGACGCCGCAATTCTAAAGTGCAAGTTGACGCCTAGCATTATGAAAATTGGATTGCTGCAGCTTATTTCTAATCAGTACCTAGGTAGTTTATGAAAAGGGAATGGAAGGGGAATATCTTGGACTTTTTAAATATTATATCCGAACATACCTTTAATTAGCTACGTATTTTTAGATAGGTGCGTACTCTAATAGACCCGACCGGTATGATATCTTGGTATATCAGATCGGCTCCGCTACTGAGCCCCACATTTTCCGAGTATAGGGGATCCGACTCCCGGCCGGTATTAGGACAATTTCGCACAGTATGTCCGGAGTATTATATGTTTACAATACAGATTCATACAGGGGTATTAATATTCTTCGTATTTTATTAACCGGGTATATGTACGACTATGATGAGCCGGTATCAAGCCTTGCGCAGGGTTTAGGACAGGCAGTATCACCTACCTAGCCATCAACTGATCAGATGAGTCCGGCGTTACTGAATAATGATTTATCTATGCTAATGGCTCAACTTCCCTTAGTATCGGAGCCTGATAGACTAGTATTTGTAGGAGCATTAGAAAACTGCTAACCTGCTAGGCTCACTTAGTTTGAGGGCCCTTCGCTCTTCTTTACTTGCTTTGCTAGGGCGTCGAATTAGTTCTCCGACTTGGCGTATCTCGGCGCAACATATTAGAGATTATAGAGCAACTCTTCGACCCTCTTAATACACATGCTTGACTTTCGTTGGTGGAAATGAAAGCTGTGGTGGATGGTGGCGTTGTAGGTTTCGTTCTTAATCGTGACGGCCATGAATTCCGTATTTTAATTGGAAGATTTCTTATTTTTCTTGTCTCTATGCTTCTTTTCTTCTGTCTTCTCTTTCTTCTTTTTCTTCCGCGAAACTTCCGAGTCAACCTCTTCGGTATTGGATCCGGTATTAGGCTGTACAGGAGGGATAGATACTTCGGCTTTTCGCTTGCTACTACTTGCTTGAGCAGCCTTCAGTGCGGCTTTAGCGCGTTCCTTCGCGATCATCTCGCTTAGCTTAGTGTTGACAAGCTTGTTATTGTTCTCGGCTAAGTCGGCTCTAATGAATCGAATGGCGGCTTCCTTGTTTAAGGTCTGCTCGGGCTTCTGCGGGGGAGTCTCGATATTTTTGATCTTGTCAAAGTATTGTCGTACGCGAGCAAGTTCCTTGAAAACGGGATGTTCTTTTGCCTCGACGCCATTAAGTCGAAGGGAAGCTTATTGCTGTGTTAGACTAATAGAAATTTGCAAGATTTAAAAAGCTTGTACTTACAAAAGAGCATCGATTCTATGGAATAGGTCGCAAGCACGTAGAGCTTGGCTTTGTCGAGCAGAGGTAGCTTGTTAGCGACATCCGAGATGTTACCAAGGATGGGCTGTAGGGCTTCCTCGAGGTTATCGAGTTCATCGTCGAGTCGATCCAACTGTGGTGAAATATTTGGCGGATCCATTATGCGCGAATTTGATATGAAATATTCGCGACAGTCATTAGAAAAAAGTGTTGATTTATTTAAAGTAGACTATCGCATTGGCTCGGTCGCAATTATATTCAACTGTAATTCTGTACCTAATTGAAGAATTATGGCGGTGATTAGAGGCAGAATATGAAAACGGAGAAAGAATAAAGCGAATTCTAAGAAACCCAACTTTTAAGATCGTAGTTACATAATACGAAATAGTGGACCTAGATAGATACATTTATAGGTACCTCTTACCTATCTCATGTACTTGAAAATATGGGCTTTCAGCTGCTTTCGCCAATAATAGCCATTTCATTTCCCACCGGCTTAGCGCAATCGTGGGGCCCGAATCGGATCCGTTCGAGGAAAAAAAAAAAATATCATCGTCATGAAAAGCCGCTGCAAGCTAATATACATGTATAAACCTATACTGTAAACGCACTCTACTTGATATCACCGCATCGAAATTTGTATCTATTATTTTGACCGGTATTTCTTTCTTCTACTTTATTATTTCTCTTCCTTAATTTTCACCCAATGTTCAGGGTTTGGCCTTAGCAAAGAGTCGCGATTCAGCCCTCGGCCATTCTAACGACATGAGAACAACCAATTAACCCACGATAAACTCCCACCCTGTATTCTCATATCTTTCGCCAGCCGCTTTCGCGGGCTTCAGCGCGAATACCTAGCAGAGCTACAACATGGAGTCGCGATAACCTCTTTGTGGGCCGGGGGGCCACCATGTACTTGTCCGCTGTTGCTGCCGTGATGCCGGACCTACAACACCGGAATGACGGTTTCCGCCTTGATCCTCCTATATACTACCCCCCAACTTCACCACAGAAAGGCGGGTCGAGAGAGGGCGTTTCTCCAAGTTATCCCTTCTATACATCGCCACCAATCACCAAGATTGCTACGCCTCCTCACCCGTATATCAAAGAGGATTCAGATTCCGCTAGAGCGTCAGCGGCGGTAGCAGCACAGGTAGGAGCCGGAACGGAAACTGATTCCAATTCCCCGAGACCAGTACCCGCGATCAGGCTCTCGAAAAAGATTCACGTTGTAGGGTTCGACCCTCATGCACGATTCGTCGCTCACGCTCTTGCCGCTGATCCTAAACTACCACCGGTTCAGATGCTCACTCACAACCCGATATCAATGAAAGCGTGGGGACAGGAAGGTAGAGCTGTCAGTATTCATGATAGCAAAGGCCATCCTATGTCTTCCCGGGAAATACTCTGTCCAGACTATGTTAGTCGTCGGTATAAGTCGCTAGTGCACCAGCCTATCTTGGATAATATCATTCTTAGCACTGCCGCCAGGGCTGCTTTCCCTACTTTGTATGCCCTGCGTAAACGCATCGACCGCCGAACAACACTCTGCTTGCTCGAACCTGGGCTTGGATTGATGGAAATGTTAAACGAGGAAGTGTTTGATATCCCCGCTCTACGGCCAAATTACGTGATCTGTCACAGCACTCATAAACTTGCGAGGCATTCGTATTATAAATACTCGATACGACACATACCTGGGAAATTATATCTCCACGCGGTTCCTAGGGACGACGAAGACGAGGATATAGACAGAGTAACGTCTCAATTGCTTGGGAATCAACATACTCAGCACATGGTCCATCTCCTCTCAGCGGCTGGCGACCTCGACGCAGTCGGCGTATCATGGCCGCGATTGCTGCTGGAGAAACTACCCGACATGATATTTGAATCCCTAGCCGACACGCTCTCATCTATCTTAGATTGCAGCTTCAATCTTATAAGGTGCAATAAAAATGCGATGAGACTATGGGAAAATATGTTGGCAGAGACGATACATATCATCTCGTCTCTTCCCGAATTTCAGGACCATCGCAAGAAGCTCAGATTCCTACACGAGAGACAGTTTGCGACAAAGCTCAGAGTCAGGCTAGAGAGGCAAGGTACCCAGTATAGCCGGTGGATAGCGGAGGTCCGAATGGGAAAAGAGCCGCCTATCCAGTTCGTCAACGGCTATTTCGTGAGACGTGCCCAGGAGGTCGGAGTCGACCACAGGAATAACAGCCTAGCTATATCCATGCTTAAAGCGAGGGTAGAAAGCAGACGCAAGATGCACGAGGTTCCGTTCCAACTTATACCGGAATATGATGATTATTAGAAAATGCAACTCACAATATAGCTCGAGTATAGATAGACACGGGCTTGAGTTGGTATTGTATATAGTGTACACTTACGCAAATCGCTTGTATAACGAATTAGAGATGTTAAATTTTGATCCAAACGTAACGCCTCGCGTATATATTAGAAATAATTAGCTGTAACTTGTTATAGTTCCATTATGCGTAATGACTGATAGCTAGGAGGTAGGTATGTTAGATCAACCATAACCCCGAAATCTAATTTAACAATAAACGCAAAATCCTTCAACTCATACATACTACAGGGAACGCACGTATCGAAGAATATGGAGTGAATTTTTTTTTTACTTTATACAGAAGCACTGGCTCAAGGGCTCCGCAAGCAAACGCAACTGCACTCTGCAGGCATAACTATAAGTTGGGTACGATACGAATAGCTAGTAGACACGATTCCTTCGGCCCAAAAGCGTAGAGATAGGAGAGTTCTCATTACCCCTCTTCCCAGCCATCCTCGCTGCCTCCCCCTCCCCCTGCCCCTTTCCTATTTTCTTCCTACCCTACTCCATCTTGACACAGATAGATATCTTAGTACTGGCTAGCAGCAGCCTGGCAAGCCTTTAGCTGCTCAAGATACCAGCCGCAGATCTGCATGTTTCCGCCCTGTTCGTCCATGCACTTGGTGAAGGACTGCGTGGCGCCCTGGCAGTTGTTGCCCCACTGGCTCTGCTGCTGCTCCGCGCTGGCAGCTTGGGGAGAGGCCTCGGCGGGTGCGGAGCCGCCGCCGCCAAAGAGCCCGCCGATCGCGTGGCCGATGGAAGAACCTACCGCGACACCGCTGTGCGTGTTGATGTTAGTTTATAGTCGATGCATATTTACATAGAAAATAATTTAAGATGGTACCTACGCAGCAGTACTGGCCATCTGGCCGAACAAACCAGGTCCCTGGGAGCCCTGAGGAGCGGCCTGAGCAGGGGAATGCGGTTGCGCAGATTGCGCCGGGGCATAAGTCGCTGCTGGTCGCGTCTGTTGAGAAGAGGGAGCAGGCGCTCTGCTGGGGACGGTAGGACGAGCCGGAGCGGGTCGAGAGGGTCGACCGGCGGAACGGTTGCGAGCCATCTTGATTTATAGGTTGAGAAGTAAAGATAGGTAGCGCGCGAATGAGCGTGTGTGTCGGTTTGTATATACGTAGAAAAGAAGGTTGATGCGGAAGAAGAAAAAAATTGTGAGATGGATCGGCAAAACGGTAAAAAGGTGGAAGTTGACGGAAGGTCGCAGGTTTCTAGTTCGGATTTAAAGAAAATGCTGCTAAGGTAAGGTACATGAGGCAAAAGCTAGAAAGGTAAATGTCCGGGTTACCGGGATGCTCTAACTAAGGTATGTACATACACGTTATGTGGCGTTGGCCAATGAGGGGTTACTAATCGGTAATCAGTGACCTGCACTTGTAGCTTATATTGTGGCGCCCCAAGTTGCGAATTATATTAACTTAGGTACATAACACAAGTTAATACATCTTCACTAAGTCTCATCTTTCCTTTCTGACATAATACCACCATAGTTCAGAATTTATTTTCACTCTAATGTTATAGACGTTTAATGACCCTCCTCTTTATTAGACAATTGATACCATAGGAAACAGGAGTTGAATGTGTTGAGCTTCCAACCTATGAAATCCATCAATTGCAAACGATCCAATAGAATTCATAACTTCATTGAAATGCTTAGAACTCCTTGCTATATTTTATACGTATAACAAAATAATACCAATCAATTCCAAAAGGCTATTCAGCAAATTATTTAGCTTGTTCATTCAAACACTTCAAACCCAATGAGATCCGGGGCTGGCGAGTTTCCACTCGTAGTAAAGATCACTTGGTTCTCACCCTCTACGAATCCATCAACTTCGATAAGCAACCTATCAGACTCAAGCCAGTCTCCTCCTGATATAGGAAACGCCCATCTCTTCGGCACCCCATCATTGACCGTAACCGTCATGTTTCGGGTATTAGAACCCCAGCCCCAGGCACTATCTAGGGCGAGTTCGTAGTTAATGAAATCGATACCAACTAGCTTCTTTCCCTCAAAGCCCACAGTTACTAAGTCAAAAGTTGCGCTCGCTCCTTGGGCAGCAATGCTAATCTTGTTACCCGTAGGCGCGCATTCAGTTGCCTGACAGGTAACTTTCGTCGCGCCACCTGATAGTGTGGCATTTTCTACCGAGTAGTAGCCTTTTGACGTAGGTCGCGAGGTCGATGCCACGACATCGCTTAGAACTAGCAATCTCATTTCATGGGCAGCGAGTTCAAGTTTTTGGAGCCCTGAGATCGCACCAATATCTTCCGCTGCCCAGACATCGCGAGCGTAAGCCCCCGAGACGTTCATTGCCGAGAGGTCGAACTCTACCGTCTGAGAATCGTTCTTCCAGTTTGCAATCCCAAGAACGATTCTTGATCCGGAGAGTTCGCCAGCCCAAATGTCCCACTCTTCTTCGGTGTAGCGACGGATAAGCCGCGCCTGTTTGCCTAGCGAATCCTGGTTAATAGCTATAACTTCTTCATTGCGAAGCACATCAAGAGAGGCGGCCGGCGCGAGCTTCGGGTCCATTGGTACCCCGATGTTAAGAGGAGACTTATTGATAGCCCACATGCTAAAGTGAAACTTCTCCTCTTGGAGAGACAGGGTGTTAAGTCCAACGCTATATATGTCAGTAACTCTACCTCAATTCAATGGACGTACACATACATGAGCATATCCATATCGGGATAAGCACCGACCGAGGTAGATTTATAAAAGGGCACGACTTGGTTTGTAATACGCCACACGCTCCTCCACGAATTATAGATATCGTTGCTGATCCTGTAGACATTGCCAATGGGCGGCGCCCACTCACCTAGGTCTTCACCGATACCCCATTGGCAAATGAAGTAGGCGATGTCTCGATTTACGTCATCTAAAAGTGCAGCCATCTTCTTGTGACGCTCAGGCGATGTAGATTCTGGTGACACATAATCTGCCATTTTGTCTTTCGAGGATGAATAACAGTTGTCATATCTATAAAGACTCAGCGATTGTCAACTTCTCCTTTATTGGTGGGTCTTAGACTCACTTTAAGGAGTCACCTTCCCACTCAGCAAACGACTGCGCATCTATCTCTTCAAACCCTGCGGCTAGTTAGAATTCTAGTAAAACAGTAAAAATAAACAAGAAGCCCATACCGAGAGAAGCTGGGAGATCCGTCGAGCCGCATTGATAGTAGCCTGCGCCAGAGTAAAGACCAAATTTCAAGCCCAGGCCGTGAATATAATCTCCTAAAGCTTTGCCTCCAGATGGGAAGAGAGTAGCATTCCACTGTAGCCGACCTTCTGAGTCTCTGTCCCTTGACATCCACCCGCAGTCTGTCGTGACATATGTGTAACCCAGGTCAGCCAACCCCAGATCTACGATCCCCTGAGCATTGGTTTTCATGATATCCTCGCTAGGATAGCAGTTATAATGATTATAACTATTCCATCCCATCGGCGGGGTCTTTGTCTTGTAAAGGGCAGCTTCTACGGAAGCCCCTAACATAAGCACCGAAGTGGTAAGAATTTTCATCTTGTTGGAATTCATCTCCGACCTAGTTATGGACGCGCCTGAGCTTAACTGTCCGAATGCTCTCCCATATCAACTTCATATGACGAAGTTTCTGGCCACCACTGTCCCGTTTATACATGGTAGCCGCCAAGATATTTCCCCAGTCTACAACGGCCGATGATACTAAAGCGGGTTCGACTCTCCGCAGAGTTGATTTCTCCGGCACCGTCCTCCAAATACGAGGTGCCGCTTGCGGGGAACCTGGTCTAATACACTGTTCCTCACGCACGCATTTGCGTAAGTTTACAGCAATGATCCGAACGCCGAACGGTATGGTATAAGCGCTTTTATATGTGCTCTCATATATATGCCCTCGTAGCTAGCCGAATACCTTGCAACTCCTTCGCGGAATATCGTTATTTGTACGGTCATTTATACCCAGCGAGTTCGATGAGTCAGTTAATAGCTTGACTTGATTTAGACTTGACTTGACCTGGCTTAAGTAGATGCATTTTATAGGAAATCTATCCGATTTAGGTCAATTTTTCTTTATTTAACTAACAGGTAAGAATGAGGGTATATATATACTTTTAAGTGGTAGGTAGTAAACATGTGGCTAGGCGTGACTTTATACGGACTTTCAGGCCAATCCCGCGATCCAGCCAGGTAAACCTCATTTGTTTATGTATTTGACCTACCGCCTAATTGAATGAAAAATAAAAACGAACAAGACCAAATCAATAAAGACCAAGAAAACCAAGTCAACAAGCACAAAAAGACCAAATCGAATATTAGTCGATAGGCTACGAGACGGCAACATTACAAGCCTAGGTTGATTATATTAATCATGTATATTAATCATCTATCTAATACCGCTTGCTGTCTCGACTTTCCTTTTTCTTATCACTCGCCTCTAAAAACTCGAATCTAAAACATAACAATAACTATCGGCCGAAATACGGACATGGAAATGCAGATTGCCTAGTAGCAAGCTAGTAGATATGGGCCTCAGCGCGGGGGACACGGCCACATGAACAAGACAGATTGGGAGAGATGAAACAGACAGACAGAGATTCCAGACGGCAAATATGTATGTGTAACGGATGCTAAGCGAAGATTCCGCAGAAGAATACGCAAACGTTCAACGGTCGAGACAGTGGTCGGAGCAGCAGCTGCAACGGTAAGGCAATGTCAGCCAAGTAACAAGATGCATGGCGCTACTACTTGTCCTTATAATTATCCTTATAGCCTTTGATTTGCCTTTTCATCCCTTCTTGGTACTGTCATTGAGAAGGCGTTGCAGTTGTGCCGGCATCTCGAAACGACTAAGTTTCCCGACCGCCCCCCTAATGTCATTGGCATATTGGAATTCGCGGCGAAAGAACCCGGGCCCTAGCTTCTGCCTGGGGATGCTTGTGAGCGCAAGAAGCTACGTCTGCTGGGTAAA